TCCCCATAAAAGCGGCCCGGCATAATAAAAAGCGTTATATAGCTGGCACTGAAAAGTAACGCGCCTCTTTCTTTCTCTTTCCTTATCTTGTTCGCCGTATCTCTCTCTCTCTCTCTCTCTCTTTCTGTCTGGTTTAGTCGTGTGTGGGTGTAAGGGTGGTGGTGGTGGTGTGGTGGTGGTCGTCGCGGAGGAGGTGGTAGTGGTGGAGGTGGGTGAGGTTACCACGTACACGAAGAAACAGATACGACCGGGCATAAGGTCTTTTACGGCCTTATTTGCGGAGACGTAAAAATCGCGAAAATCAATACGGAACTTCTAACATTAAATATTCAGGCTATCGGCTGGGCGGGGCCGCGAGAGAGGCCAGACACTCTTTCGTACCTGAGAGTTCCTCCACTTCCTTCATGGGAAACCATTCTTCCGCGATCGCGATACGCTCTCGCGTTGGCTTTCCGCGACGGGGGGACGCCACCGCGTTTCCAGACGTTTCCTCGTATATTTTCTTCGATCACCGAGTCGGCCGTTCGACGAAACTTTTCGTCGACCTATCGTCCGTGCTCGTTCGTTATTGCCACGAGAATTGCTACTTATATCCGATATACGCGATTATGATTGGGATCGTTTAACGCTTTGAATGCCCTCGCAGCCGTCGTCGTCGTCGTCGGCGGCGAGATCCAGTCTCGCGAATTCGCTATAAAGAGTCGAAGAGCGTTCCGTTTAAATTACCACGATTAATATCGGTTGGAATTTTTTTCTTCGACTGCCACTGCCAAGTTCGACGCGTCGATATTCCCCCGAACGATCGAACCGCTCGAACAGTGATTTTTCTCCAGCGGCGCATTGTCTTCCGAAATACGAAAATATTGTCGCGATAAAACAACCGCTTCGACGAGTCGTTTAAATCGAACAAATACCGTTCTCTGTTCTTTCGATCGCGTGGCTCTAATTGTAATCCAGGATAGAACGACTACGCGAATTTCCTTCCGGATTTTACATTTTTATTTCTATGAAACGTAAACCCGGGTCCATAAATCGTGCCCTTTTTTTACTTCATATTCAGTTTTTCTTCTTTTTTCATATATTTCTTTGCTTTTTTCCCCTCCGCCGTTATCCGCCTCCGGTTTCTGTATCGGCTCGCATACAACCACACGTATTCGCGTAATTCCTTGAAAATTATTCTACGAAACAACAATGGAATTTTACATGCAAGTAAAATGAAGCAACTGAATGCACATTAATTCGTGCCACGGTATTGTTCCATTTGCAAAAAAAGCCCGTTTCGTTTTCGCAACGAATCATTTATTCCTTAAGCTTTTGAACGCGGCTACACACGTATCCAGACTGCCTCGATTTATTCTACTTTGTTCTCCATTTTGTCGAACAAATGTTTTCGAATTACAGCTTTTGCATTACAGTTAAAACGAAGTGTATCGGATCGTTCGATTTCTCGCGATGGAACAATTCAACCAAATTGTGAACGTCGAATTTGATTGCCGGTTACAGAAAGAACGTCGAATATTGCGCTTTTTCCTGGAAATAATTGCTCGGTTAAAGCGTTAATCGTTTCATATATCAAACAGTGTACCGTCAAAAGAAACGTTGAATATATCCAGGCTCGCTCTCTCCTCGTATATTTTCTTCGATCACCGAGTCGGCCGTTCGACGAAACTTTTCGTCGACCTATCGTCCGTGCTCGTTCGTTATTGCCACGAGAATTGCTACTTATATCCGATATACGCGATTATGATTGGGATCGTTTAACGCTTTGAATGCCCTCGCAGCCGTCGTCGTCGTCGTCGGCGGCGAGATCCAGTCTCGCGAATTCGCTATAAAGAGTCGAAGAGCGTTCCGTTTAAATTACCACGATTAATATCGGTTGGAATTTTTTTCTTCGACTGCCACTGCCAAGTTCGACGCGTCGATATTCCCCCGAACGATCGAACCGCTCGAACAGTGATTTTTCTCCAGCGGCGCATTGTCTTCCGAAATACGAAAATATTGTCGCGATAAAACAACCGCTTCGACGAGTCGTTTAAATCGAACAAATACCGTTCTCTGTTCTTTCGATCGCGTGGCTCTAATTGTAATCCAGGATAGAACGACTACGCGAATTTCCTTCCGGATTTTACATTTTTATTTCTATGAAACGTAAACCCGGGTCCATAAATCGTGCCCTTTTTTTACTTCATATTCAGTTTTTCTTCTTTTTTCATATATTTCTTTGCTTTTTTCCCCTCCGCCGTTATCCGCCTCCGGTTTCTGTATCGGCTCGCATACAACCACACGTATTCGCGTAATTCCTTGAAAATTATTCTACGAAACAACAATGGAATTTTACATGCAAGTAAAATGAAGCAACTGAATGCACATTAATTCGTGCCACGGTATTGTTCCATTTGCAAAAAAAGCCCGTTTCGTTTTCGCAACGAATCATTTATTCCTTAAGCTTTTGAACGCGGCTACACACGTATCCAGACTGCCTCGATTTATTCTACTTTGTTCTCCATTTTGTCGAACAAATGTTTTCGAATTACAGCTTTTGCATTACAGTTAAAACGAAGTGTATCGGATCGTTCGATTTCTCGCGATGGAACAATTCAACCAAATTGTGAACGTCGAATTTGATTGCCGGTTACAGAAAGAACGTCGAATATTGCGCTTTTTCCTGGAAATAATTGCTCGGTTAAAGCGTTAATCGTTTCATATATCAAACAGTGTACCGTCAAAAGAAACGTTGAATATATCCAGGCTCGCTCTCTCAGCGTTTTCGTTGATCGGTCTATACGCGTAAAATCGTTTTTAATCAGAACAAGCATCAAATGTGCTATTCTTCTCGAAAAACCGTTAATCTCGTTCGCTGTTTTACCTCTTTCCGATCGACGGAATTATGGAAATTTCTATTTGTTAATCGTATACACGGGAACTTACTTTGTACCGAGCTGATTCCATCGCTCGAAAGAAGCAATTAAAACCTGCATTAAAGGAACCTTCTTCCTCCTCGATCGCTTCTTAACTACTCGACAAAATTTCATCGTTCATCGAATACGAACCGCGACTACATAGATGTGCAACATATTTTCAATTTTCAAAACGACGCGTATAAAAACTTAATTATAACATAAGCCGTTCGCTGACGCGTTCCTCTGTAACCGAGTCGATTCGAATAATCGAAATCTTATGACATCGATAAAACCGAACGATCATCGAGACGCTTGCAATTCGAGGATTATCTTTGCTCGTTCTTCGATAATTCTCCAAGTACCATAAGTTTTTATTGGCGGGAAGTTAAAGATAAATCTTGGATGAAGCAGGACCCGACGCGTTTTACGACTACTAAGAAAACTTTCAAATGGTTCATCGTTATTTCATCGAACAATTCTCGCCGCCGAGTCTCGGTCGTTGTTGGTATACGATATTTGCAGGTCCGCGCGCTAACAAAGTCGATGAAAATCTCGTCCGAACGAAATTACATCGATAATGGAACAGGGAGAGTGTTTCATTGACGCGCGAGTTGTTACGTCAAACGTGTTTTTTCGCTGGAAATTCCGAGAACGGGAAATCTGGAGCCTCCTTCGCAACGAGGAAAGTCATTTTTCGCGTGACGAAACACTTTGAACGGGTTTTCGAGGATCGTCGACGGATCCGGACCGAGCGAAACGTTGATTCGCGAGACTGACTGAAATGGCTCCACTTAAAACTCGAGATACAATGAACGAGCAACGCGATAAATTTTATGCGACAGTTTTATACACTGTCTAATAGTATGATATCGATATGTCGCCGAACTAAGTACTTAAGCGACGCGAAACGATCATTTAAAACGGAGAAATCGTGAAATAAATGTCGATCTCGTGCGAAGCGTCGTTCGCGAGATTATATTCGTCGTATAACCAGTTCCACGTAAAACGGAAAAAAAAGGGAATAGATTCGAACCGGTCGACAGGACACTGACAGAGGATACGTCGTTTATAAACGATACGTCGGTAAATAAAATCGCGATTGACAGAAATACAACTTGCTACGCTGCTTAATCGCGTGGGCGTGTGAAACTGTTCTCGAATCACCTTAAGCTCGTATCGCGCTCGTCGAAGTCGATCGATTCTCGATCCGGTAATCCGTCTATTGACTTCCGTCCGTACAAATAGAAACGCCACTGTCAAAAAGATGCAACCTTGTTCAAAGAAGCGTCGATGCACTCTGTAGCCGAGGAAAATACGTAATCGGTAGAAGTACGTAATAAGATTGATGCCGTGAGAAAAGGAGAAAAAAAATGAAGGTGGTCAGAGACCGCGAGAGAGAAAGAGCAGCCTGTTCGTGGAGCGCTTCATTGACTTTCATGACAGATCTGCACGTGGTAACTGCTCGAGCGTCGAGACGGAAATACACACATTTTATCTTCCGCTATTTGGAATCGCCTAAGAATTCGATCTACATCGACGCGTTAATCACGTTCTTCGATTGCGTGCACGCATATCTACATATAGTCGGTATACCGTGATACGCGGGCACGAGTTCGACGACCAATTTAACGCTCGGATGCGATCGTTTACTTTCGATGTCGAGAAAACCCGGAAAGAAGCAGGGCTTAAGAAGGACATGGAAATACTCACGGGGAAATGTAGAGCAGGGCGAGCCTAATTTAGAACTTCCTATTCCCTTCCGTTACGCTTCCTGCTGGCCGAGAGAGGCCTACGTTGTGCAGCCGGGTGTACGCGTGACGTTGCAATTTCGAGAATAATTAACGAAGATCGACGGGAAGTAACGCGTGCTAACTCTTATCGGCGATCGATGAATCAACTTTGCTTGGCTCTTTAATTTTCGACGTCCTTGATTTTCTCGCGCACGTTCGATTGAAATATTTGTCAAGGACGTCGATCTACCCCGTGTGTAAACCGGTTTCCCCGTCGCGTTCATCGATTTTCTGTGAGCTTCGAAAGTTTCGATCGATCGCGTTCCCCTTCGTTGACTCATCTTTTTCGTTGCTTTTGCGCGTATTTCAGGTGGTTCTGTCGGCGTGCAGCACGTACTTTGACACAATTCTGTCCCAGTACGAGGAGAAGGATCCGATCGTCATCATGCGGGACGTGAAGTTCTCCGATATCAAAGTCCTGGTCGAGTTCATGTACAAAGGAGAGATCAACATCGATCACGTGAGTAATTTACGCGATAATCATTGTATTCTGTTACCTTTCCTTCCCACAGAAACTCGTCTAACGGTATATCGACTAGTTGGTAAACGGAAGAGGAGCAGATGTATATACGTATCGGGAAAAAGTTCCGCGAGTTTACGTGTGTGAATACTTTGAAATTCGAAGCGGTATAGAAGCGGATTCGGATCGTCGCGAGAGGGACGAAATTAAAATTGATTAAAGAAATAAAGCCCGCGGAAACGTACTCTCCGGTCCCTTTTACAGACTCGATAGACGACTTATTTACATCGTGGACATTATGAGGGCACTCGTGTCCCGTTGCCGGAGGGAAAAGTGTCGCGGGGAAGCGGTTGGCCTCAATTTATTAATAATTGAAGACCTCGTGCTCTTCGAGCCATAGGACGCTTCAAAGCGACCTGGAGTTTCCCATTAATCCACCACCCCTTTTCTACCTTCGCGGAGCTTCGGGGCAAAAATCGTCGCGAAGATGCAATTTGTTTTGCCGTCAATCGTTTCTTTTCCTCCTTGTTGGCTCGTCCGACGAAAAGCAGAGCTTTGTCGATCGTTCGAAGTAGAAAAATCGAATCGGTTAATTAACGATTGATAGAGAAGTGGAAACGTTTGAAGGCTGTTCAACTAGTCGATAAAAGTCGACGAGAAACGGATGCTTGTACAAAACGCGTTTCCTTCTTTGACTGCTACTCTGAATCGCTTGATTCTTCTCTTTTCAGTTAGATTTAATCGGATACCTTCGATTTTACCTTCAATCTTTTTCCCTCTTAATAGATTCCGATCCTCTGTATTAGTCAGTTTGCAATTAACTTTTCCATCCTTTTCTTTCTCTTTTCCTTACCGTCCGGCCGGATGAAAATTTTCACTTTTCGAAGTAGACGATTCAATCGGATAGTTATTTATTCATCGTCCGTTACTAAGCTGAAACGTTTTCTGCTTGCGAGAATCGAATTTAGACCAGAAAGAGGATCTTACGGGAACAACGGTTTCTTATTCTTCCGTGTTTCTATTCGTGATCAAACGGTCAGGTTCGCGAGCTTTCTCCGACCACGTTTTTACCTGCGAAAAATCCGGCTACGGTGAAAATAGACGCACTCCCTCGTGCATCGCTTCGTTCGATCGATTGTTATTCGTCTGAATCGAATTTGCATTATCCGGACCTAGCCGTATGATTCCATTTTTTACGCTTTTGCGCCCGAACTCTGTCGCGAGATAAACTGCGCGAAACGAAAATTTTAACTAGCAAAGGAAATCATCGCTGAATAATTTATTATCGACCGTCCGTGGATTTCTGAATTAATTTTACAAATCAACACAAATAAATCGCCCGTTCCCTAAAAATATAACAAACGTCCGAAAAAGTTGGCGTTTTACGTCGAATACTAATAAATTCTCCGGATTTTCCGTCTTCTCTTCTTTTTCATTTTTGTTCGATATTATCACGGCAAGAAACGAAAGCGTACTCGCCATTTCTGAAATGTACACATTATTCCCGGGAGTGCGCCGCCGGAGACGCTGACCCACATAAGCATTTTTCCAATTCCGTTCGTGGCCGATAGAAAGCCGCGTGCACCGCGACGACGACGGCGTTTGTAGAAAGTTCTCAATATTATTTAGCATTCTCTCGGTCGGACTGGCATTATTGCGGTGAAAATTGACAAATAATAATCGTTGGACCCGCCAGTTTCTGCCAATGCGTCCACCCAGCTGCCGTTCGCGACCCCGTTGCTCGATATCGATCTCATTTTTTTCTATTTTTCATCCCCCTTTCACGAACGAAACCGATTCATTATTCGCTCCCTCGAGTGAATCCTCGGCCGAATCGGACACACGAGTTTGCCGGGCAAATTGAAGCGGCCAGGATTAATGGAATTACTAATTTTTACTCTTACCGCACGATCGCTTTTTCCTCTAGCCCTTTTTTTTTCCACCGATGCCAGCTGCCGAGATAATTAGATTTATCCGACCGTGCGAATGCTTCTAGAGATTTCTTACTCTCCTGTGTCTTAGCGATATTAACAGTTTGTCTGTCGCGTTAGTCTCTCAATTTCCGCGAATTTTTCATCCTACTTTCGAACGTTTTCCATGTATAGCTCGACAACGTAGTCGCGATAGAATCTATTTTCGACTCCTCCATACGAAAAGGGTTAAATAAGAAGAAACATACGCGTCAAAGAAAACCACCCTCGTCTTTAATAAATCCTCTTCGGCTGTTGGTCGCGCGTGATTAAAGTCGATCTTCTTTCCAGACGAGATTGTCGTCTCTGTTGAAAACCGCCGAGGATCTGCACATCAAGGGTCTGGCAGAGGTAAGCTGGCGTAGCGATTCCACGCAGAACGAAATGAGCAACAGCGGTCACAGTCCTGGCGCGGCAACTCCAGGCGTCGAGACGGTCCTCAGGGAAGGAGACGCCGACGAACCACCACCCCCGAAACAGAGACGCAGAGGTCGTCCGCCTCTGGACGATCCACCCTCGGCTCACGATGTGTTCACGCCAAAAATCACGTGTATTACCGGAAATGTACGTCGAGTACTTCGCTCTCTTTTCATCTTTTTCTTATCATCCATTCCATCGCTGTCTTTCGCGTATTTCGAGAACGATTCTATCTCGAATTTAATTATCGTGCTCTAGTAACATAATTCGTGGCTTTGAAATCGTAAGTCTTTCGAGTAGCGAATAAGTCGCGCTGTAAGTTATATCGCGTCGATCGCGATCGACGCTCGTCAGCGACACGTTTCCTTCCTATGACATGTCCGGTTAAAATCTGTTCGATTTCCCAGGAGGAAATGATGAGCGAGGGCGGTGACCATGAGAGCTGGGACGACGAGATGATGATGAACGAGAATAACGAAACGCCACTGCCGGTGGTAAGATATTTATCTGTTAATCGCGTATTACATTTTACGACGAGCAGCGTTTCGATTAACTCACGTCACGTTTTGCAGCTATCATACATGCCCAAAGACGAAAACATATCCGACCAGGAGAAAAAAGGTACGTCGTTATCGAATCGTTCGAAAATTTTCGATCCAGTTTTACCGTGTACGTTCTCGGTTTAACCGAACGTTATCTCTTTAATCCATTGTTCTATTAACAGTACGAATTTCGCTCGCCAAATGCGGTATCCGATACAAAAATTTCGTTTCGAAATCGAATTTTTGAAAAAGCATAGCGGAGCATCGCTGTTGGACAATGTTATATCTACATGTTAGGTATGTACACATAGGCGCGAAGAATCTAACATGATTCGATTTTGCTGCAGCGCCTACCACTCCCTCGAATTCCAACGTCACGAACCTATCGATCCCCGAGCAATTCCGAGACGTCGTGAAGATGAACGATTACCTGACGACAGGACGCCGCCAAGAGTTCTGGGAGGAGCCGTTCACGCGACGCGTTATGGATGCCATTAAGAGCAAAGAACTGGAAATGAAGACTGCCGCCGAGATACTTGGCGTGTCCTACGGAACCCTCTACGGCAGATATCGCGACAGTTATGGTTGCCTTAAACATCCGTATAGGTAAATGGAAGAGACACGATGGTTTTCTCTGTTCTTGATTGCCTTTTGTCGCGACCGGTTATTGCTGCATCCTTCGCGTTTTACGACCACCGCGTTCTTGCTACGTCCTACTTTAACTCGGTGTAACTAGTCACTTTGAGGAATCTCAATTTCGAATATCATTTATTTTTCAAGCAGATTTTTCGCGAGGACGAATCGTCGGTGAAATCTTGACTTTGAAAGCATGCTATTTTCCTCGTTAATGTTCTCGTCGCTAAAGCTAGACACGATCGCGTTTGTCCACAGAGTAAGGGACTTTTGGTCCGAGCCAGGCCCGGCAGAAGTGTTGGCGAAACTACGAAGGAAAGAGATCACGTTATTCCGTGCGGCCGAGTTCCTCAATGTGACCGTCCATACGTTGGCGACCTATTTGTCGACGCTTCAGGGCCCGGACAGAATCTCGTTGGCCGGCGATCTGAGCGTGGCGGCCAGCACGGTCGACGGCAACAACGAGACCATGGAGAACAACGACGCGATGAACGATATCCTGCAGAAGATCAACGCGAACGTGGCGACTACAACAGGAACACTGACCACATCCACGCCGATCAAAAGGGAGGGTGGTGGTTACATCGAGGTACCGACACCCGTGCCAAAACCGGCCACCTCCGTGCTGGAGAACAATCCGGACATCACGATCGTGAAGACGGAAAACATGCCTCGTAAAAGGGAATACATGAAAGTGTCGAATACGGAGAACAACAACGCGAAGCTGATGAGCGGCGGTGCGGTCAGCGAGGTGACGCAACAACAGCAACAGCAGCAACAACAGCAACAGCAGCTTCAACCGCACCAGCCGCACCAACCGCATCAGCAGCTCCAGCCGCACCCGCAGCAACAACATCCGCAGCAGCAGCAGCAACTCCAGCAGCAACAGCAACAGCCGAAAATCACCGATCCGTTGTCGTTAAACAACGACAGCAGCAAACCCTAACTATTCAGGCCTTATCTGCAACCGGCGAATCCCCGTGCACCGAGCGCTAGCTACAGATCCGACCTGTGCCCGCGCAGATTCTACTCGAACGTGTTTACACGCTTTCTCACGAATTTCCATTTGAAATAGAAGGTGGTATCACGCGTTGTCCCGTGTATAATTCTTCATCGTCGACGCCCCGAGCACGCCAGCCTGGCTACCCGGCGATAGCTTTAGACAATCTCGCGCGTACGATCGTCTCGTGTCATTGGCTGGATCGTTGCATCGAGACCGCGGAGAGAGTCGTCACGCGACAACGAGGACCCGGAGGATGATCTAGAGGCTGACGCGACCGGAGGGCACGCTCTTCGACGTCGAGGTCGAATCCAGGAAGAAACAGGGAGCGGTGATCCGTACGTTTCGATCGGTGCCTTTGGATCCGCCTGGATTCTCTCGTCGCGACGCGCGACGAACGACCGATTCACCGTCACTCGCGTTAAACACGCAAGAACTGAGAGTGCGTCTGTCGAGCTATAGAGAACAATTCCTTCGTAATGTTAGTACCTAGCGATATACGGTTCTTCGTTACTTCAAAATTGGTTCGCTTGATCGAAACGAAACGTCGGTGAGGGTGACGTCGATCGCCCCTATCGCTAAAAGTAAGTGGCAAATTAAAAAGTAAACAAAAGGAAGAAGAAATCAAGAAGGATGAAGAAGCTGAAGAGAAATCTTGTGTAAAAAAAAAAGTTCAATCGAAGTTCCTTTTGAATAACGATGTAGAGTGTATCGCGAAAAGAATGCCTAGACTATTTTCTGCCGCATGTGTCTGTATGGTAGCACGTAAAGAGCGACAATATTATTCACCCGTAGACCCGTGGGTATAGCGGTCCCAGAGTGACAAGTCCTTCGAGAGATAGATGTTTCTCGTGCGATCGTCGTTTTTAAACGAAAACAAACGAAACAGAACACTTGCACTTCTTGCAAACGGGAGCCTTAAATTGTTCGAGCGTATTCGAGACGTTTTACGCGCGCGTTCGCCGACGAGATTATTAATTTCTATTGTATACCTATCGCTCGTACTTTTTTTCTGGCACGCTTTGCCAATCTCGTAGGATGCTCTCGCGAGGAATCTTTAAATCGAGTCACTTTTGTGAAACACGTGAAACGTTCAAATTTTAGATTCTACGCGCGAACGAATAGGAGGAACGGTACAATTTTATATTCTTTTTTTTTCTTCACCGCTCATTGTCTTTATCTCTTTTCCTTCTGTGTTTATTGCACGTATATATATACATATATACATTTATATATATGTATATTTTAGAAACATTATTCAATTTGTACGCGCAAACTTTCTTTCTCTTTCTCTTTCTTTCCTTTTTTTTATACTTAGACGTTTTAAGGAACTTTTATTTAAACGATGATTGCTGAATATCGATGTCAAAGATGATCTATCTCGAAACGAAGATATAGGTATATATATATATATATATATATATTTATATATATTTATATATATATATATACATATATAAACACACACACGCATAAACGTCCATTGTAAATATTGGTGCAATAGTAAGACCTAAAAAAGAAATGAAAAACGTTAATCTTATTTATGACGAAAAGCGCGCCTTTAATCGATATTTTAAACGGAAGAAACGAAGGAGGAGCGTACGCTGTTTTCTTTTAACGTCGTGCAATCGCGTTCGGGTCTTTTGCTTGATATGCAACGGAGAGGAAAAGAAAAAGGAGAAAAGAAAGGAAAATATGCCCGCGATTTTCTCTAACTTTTAAGTTGTCTCTCGGAAGAAAAAAAGAACAAACGAGAGAAGATTCCGTACGCGCGTTACAGTTTAATTCAAACCAAACGAGACACTGTTTGTTTTTTCTTGACTGGAACAAATATGAGTATTCCTGTTCGTTGAAGAAGAATGACAAAACAAAAAGGAAGAAAAAAATCCCACTAAGTAAGAAGAACTAATAGTATAGTAGAGGTATTCACGATATTGATATTTTTCGACGATATAAAGACTTAGTTGCGTTTGAGATATTGCCCGTGTGAGAGCGAGACAGAGAGAGTGCGAGTGTTTGCGTGCGTGAGAGAGGGAGAGAACGAGAGAGAGGGTACTTGTAAAGTAATCTGAGGTACGCGTAATCATTAACATAATGGATAAAAAAGGAATCTTCGACGGCAGAAGATGGGGATGGTAATGCGAATGGACGTGTATTGTACATACAGAAACTGTAGATTATAATAGAATGGTGGAGTGTATGAAAGAAAAACGCGAAAACACTGAGAATGTTATATATATATATATATATAGATATATATCTATACATACATACTATACATATTCCTTATTCTCTAGAGGAAATTCTAAAATCGACTGACTATTAATGATAAAAAAAAGAATGACGTTTAACAAACGATAAATCGCTCCGTGTGCAGATGAAATAAAAAATAGCGTTGTACATTTACCAGGAGGAATCGAGTAGTATTTTCTTGGAAGTTAAACAAAAAAATTGTAATTTATTTTACTTTGTACGCTTATTTCTTATTTTTTCGTTACTAAGCGAACGTATCGTTTTTTAGGCCGTCAGACACAGAAAAACCAGAGGATCTCTCTCTTGATTACTTTACGAGTGCTCTGTACCGACTACATTTTATTTTTTACCACGTATAAGTAATATCATTTTATGCGATAACTTTGCACCGTTCAATGTAATATACGTTTCCTTTATTTTTTCTTTGTTAATTCGTGCCCATCGAGAACGTAGATCTGTTTTCCATTTCTTTCTTCGCTTCGTTTAATTTAACCATCGTCAAATTTACCATTGTGTCTCATCGAACATTTTGTATTAAGACTAGTAGCTTTTCTTTCTTGTTTATTATCATTAATATTATTAGTTTCTTATGTTATTTTTTTTTGTTTTAAGTAAAATAAGACTAAGACATACCAAATGAGAAATGTAAGGACAAGTTTTTGTTAGGTTAGTACTAAATATCGCATATCAAGAACGCAAGAATACAAAAATGCGCCTGAAGCACTTTTGTATTTGCCTATGCATGTCCCGGTGTTAAACGTGGCCGGGACGCACGAGGAGACCACTTTTACTCTAGCAAGAGTATACGACTAGAAGTATTAATATTTAATATTAATAATCAACGCGGATTGTCCAGAATGGATGGTCATGTTTTTGAGGATCAAACGTCGAGTCACATTGAACAAAAGAAAAAAGAAAGAACAAACAAATCTGACAGAAAGAAAGTAGTTCAGTTTTTCGATTTCGCAGTTCTTTGTTTTTAGTTTTTTCTTTTTTTTTCGTCTTAATCGGCTGTTGATCCTTGGAATATTTCCTACTTCTTCTTTACCGTCCATACGGACACCAAGTTACGACGCGTGTAGCCTATTATTTTTTCCCACTTTTTCTTTTATATAACGCCTCTTTTATCCGAGACACGATGATCGTTCTTTTTAACCTTTTTCGCAAGAGTACAAATCACAACGGTGGATTTTTTCGTTAACCCTCTCGGTGCTGCGGACACCACCTTCGAAACGTGTTCTTCCGTCTCGGTACTGAAAGGGTTAACGATTATCATCGAGACGATTAAACGAAGTTGTATCAGTTTGTTTCTTTTTTATGCGCTTCGTTTTCTCCTTCATTTTCTTATGTATTTTCGTTAACCCTTTCGGTACAACTGGACAGTAACAGTGGTCGAGAATCAACTTGCTTGTACTTTCGTAATTAGAACGCGACCGAAAATTATTATCGATACGTGTAACAAAACTTTATATCGAATAACGAGAGCAAAATTTGTGAAACAGGAATGCATATCCGAATGTAGTCAGTAAAGTTCGTGATCGGACATACAGAATGTTCCGTTATTTCGTAATTCTTGATAATACAGAGAACTGATTATATAAAAATGTTTTTACCGAAACGAATCCTTTTTTACGTTGTTATTTTAAGAGATACGAAGATCATGTTCTGATTTTTAAATGAAATAACGAAACTATATTAGTTTAGTATAGACACTGCGTATGCGAGCGTTTAACTCTTTCATTCCTAATGTCGATTTTAGTCGTGATAATATACAGAAACTAGCGTGGATTATAATCGCGTCGCAACATGAAATGTAACTTTATCATGTAGTAAAAATTCACTACTAATTCGACTTGTTTGCTGATTGCGTACAGTTGGGTGCACAGATGGTTTCTCTCGGTAATGGGACACAGAGGAGGGAGATATTTCTTTCCGTACACGTCGCATACTGGCTGAAATACTTAGTTTTAATATATTGCTATGTTGACCGTGTCACTGAGTTTATCTCTTCTAAGTCGTTATAACCCTGACCTGAATGTATTAACGAATCGTGTGCACGAATGACTTCCCTCGACTAAGGAGAATCGTACAAGGAAGATCTTACCGTTACCAAACCGATTTTCAAATATTTACTGCCCTCTCGCGTAAGAACTAAATGGAGATATAGCGGGAGGTCGCCTTCCTTTGCGTTTCCCCTTACCGAGGGATCCATCTACGCACGCGACTGTACAATAGTAGAAACGTAACGACAACACCAATGAATCAAAAAGAAGAGTGCTTCGATCTATGCAAAGTCTACTGCCCTCTCGCGTGAAGAATAAAAGCGGTGGCCTCCCTCCTGTATTTCCCCTTACCGAGGGAAACCATCTACTCGCGCGACTGTACTATCGTAGAAACCTAATGACAACCAATGCTGCCATCGATTACCTATGTGTCCACTAATGATCGTACCGAAAGGGTTAACGAAGAGATGGCGCGTATGCGAAACCGTACGTCTCAAAGACTGATGGCCATTCATTTGGAAGTTCTTTTGTAATCGTAATCTCATACCGTACGGTGATACGTTGACGATCATCCACGGTACATCGACATTATACGAGAAGACAGGACAAGACTAGCCTATTATTGGCGAACGATGATTTTTGCTCGGTTCGTCCGCCGTGCGGCATCGTGCGATGAGACTAATACGAAAAAAGTAAAGAAAAAAAAGAAAAACAGAAAAACAAAAACTCGATATCATAAGTATGTGTCGTTTGATATAAAACGAAATAACGAGTATAGTATGTATCATCGTTTTATACACAACCTAATTATATCTACGTACACTATGTACATTCCTAGTATACACTGTGTCACCTACACACACACACATACACACACGAACATATACACGTACGCGCATACACACGATACATGAAAAGAATGAAAAAATATGCATGGACCTATTGTATACGTGTACGCGCGTGTACGTACACGCGCACAGCGAAGCGTGTACTCGCGCGTGTACGCACGAACGCGCGCGTTGGAGACACATACACATATAAATATATTTATAATAATTATTATACATATACATATAAATATATATATATATCTATTCCAAAACGGACCATCGCGACATCGACGTACGAAGATCATTAAAAAAAAAGAAACAATACAAATGGGATAGAGGAAAAAGGGGGGAGGGGGGAGAAGTGTGATGAGGAACTCCTGATTGATGATACGAGCGTAATTAAATAATAATAATAATAATAATAATAAATAATAATACGGTACAACTCTATTTATATGAAAATAAAACGGATTCGGTTAATTCCTTGCCTTACGATTAATTTTGCTACCGTTAAGAAAATTCAATTGCTGTCCGTAACTTATAAAATACCGAATAAAATTGCATTAAGAGTTTGATTGCATAGGAGCTTTGATATCATGAAGCAAGGGATTAATTAACCTTTTAACCGTTTGTAGACGAAGCACTTCTAAGCTCAACACGATTTATGTACAGAATACTTTTTATTTAAGCTAAAATAAATATTTGTTTCCTTTTAAAATATGTATTATAAATTTGTAAACGTCTACAATCGCGGTTTTTGTTTAGTGTTGAGATAGCGTAAGAAAATATTTATTGGACGCGTAGGAATTTATAAGTGAGTCGATCGTCGACAAAGGGTTGGATAAATGGAGTTCTACCGTAATCATCGTTGGTTAAATAAACGAGCATTAAAAATTTCATTGTTGGATGAACAGAAAGAGCATCGCCATTGTCAGTGTCTCATGTATAACGAACGCAATCGAGTCTGTCAATTTTTCAGATACGCGGAAACCCCCTATCCGGGGGCGGGTGTATACGTATACAAAATACGAAGAACAATGTAATAAAAGAATAAAAAAGATAATATGAAAGATACGCGCATGTATAGCAAAAGAGGTTGTTACACTTGAGCACAATAGAAGAGAACAAAGTATAACGAGTAATGAATATAGTTTTACACGAAGGCTTTATCGCCCGTTTAGTTTTATACCTGAGACACGAAGAAAAGGCTGAAACGGTTAGATGATAAAGAAAAGCGACAAACAAAACAAAACAATTTCGGAATCTTTCTTATTCTGTGTTCTCGTCGTTTCTCTCTTTTCCGCTGTAACGTAAAGAAATCGGATTCTTTTTTCGTTTGGCTTTTATCGACGGCGAATCATGCCTGTATATTTTTCGTACGCGTTGTACGTTCATCTACTTCGTTGAAATTTTCTACTAATTTTATTTAACACGTTGACTGACACAGTAATAATAACCGTACTAAGATATCGTGAATTATTAAGGACATTAACACCTTACCTACCGTTAACGGATTAAATGGATGAACGCTGTAACTTTCTAACTTGACGGTAATTAATCCTTCTAGCAAATTGGTATTGATTCGAAATAGTTGATACGATATTAATTAAAATAACTTCTCACTACCAAAGGAATACCAAAAATTGAGAAGAACTCGCGTTCGGAAGATTCTTAATAATTTTAATAATTAACCACTGCCATCGGAAAATCCATCAATATTCAGACTTCCAGTCGATAAGGTGTTTAATAGCGTAAAAAATTTGTTATTTCGACGCTTCTTTGATTCCGAATTGATCGTATAATAGCGGTATTTAATATTTTCTTTGCTCGACCGAATTTTTAGCGACGCTTACCTCTTCCAGTCAACGTGTTAACTTTAACCCTCGGACAGCGGGCCGCTAAGACGATTCAAATTTAATTTCTGTCTGTGACATTTTATACGAAAGTACCTTATTTAATAATCTGTACGTTTAATTTTAATGGAAGCACGTTTCCGAGTCACGACTGACCCCGCTCCGTCGTTCGAGGGTTAACACGCGAGCGTAGCCGGAGGACATCGTCGGAGAACGAGACAACGTATATCAATTTTCGTAAGAGAAAAAGGAAAAAAGAAAATACGACGTTTCGTTCTTCGTTTCACGTAATATCATGTTTTCCTTTTAGCCAAAGCTTAGAATTTGCGTTTATCATCGAATATTTCCTTCCGTGATCCGAGTCCTATCCTTTCTCTTCTTCCCTCTCCTGACTACCCTCTTCTTATCATTCGATCTTTTCCTCTTTTACACGCATAACACAATGATGGACACAGGACACGTATATGTTTGACATATTATTATATTTACTATTATTTTAATTATGATTTCCCAGAAAAGTATATATTATCTTTAATAATCGTGGTAATTTTTAGACTAGAAGAACAATATATTTAGCAGATAGAGATTAAAAAAAGTATACATAACGAAATAAATATATATATATAAATATATACATATACATATATTATATATATATATATTATTGATGAAATATTGAGATCGTAATTAGAAATTGGGACGAACGCATACAATGCTGAAAGACGATAAACGGTATTTACGCGTAAGAGGGTGTTGAATGATGAACAAAAACAAAAAAGAAAGAAAAGAAAATGCTCGAGCAGATGGATTAAAAGCGGACTTGACCTGACTCGTGGTCAAGCTGCTCGCAGAGAATATTCAATGATTGAACAGAATAAAAAATAAATAAAAAAGAAAAAATGAAGATCAGTAAATGTAAATGTTTGTAAACAAATTATGAAACATTATTTGTTCAGTGCCTACATATTTACACAGTAACAATAAAGATGAAGAATTAGTGAATACCCCTTTTGTCTCTTTTCTACCAGAAATAAAAACAACTTTCGAAATCGCTACGATTAACAATACCTTTCCGATTGTCAGCTTTATTGTGAATCACCGCTTTTTTCATATATTTTTATAAAATCATTATACAGTTTGATATTAAAAAAAGACGAGCGAAAAATTGCGTACTTTTTTCTAGTCTAGAATAACGTCGGATAAATTTCAGTCAGTCTAATACCGGTCTGATTTTTTTTTACAAAATTTCTCAAAATTCGTAACTATTAGCCTATCGTAAAATCACGGTGTTTATTACCTTCGAACGCTTTTACGCGCAATCTAATCTTTAATTATCTAAGCGAACATAGTGAAACCGTAAATGCATGTTAGAAAAATATATTTGTTATAGAACGTCTGAACAATGAAAGTTTTACCGTGTGCCCGTAAGGACGTTTTAAATTAACCGCTTTTTTCTTCGTTGGAATTGTGCATACCTATGCCTACATTTATGACTTACGACGACGTTAGGCCCAAGTAGGAGTTTCATCCCTACCACCAGACCCTTCTTTTCGCGATCGTCGGTCACGGTGACATCCTATCTCGGCAGTTGAATTTCGAAACTCATCTACGTCAGGTCGGCAGTTCTTGCTTAACATTTCTACGCGATTTCGCATCTCCTCTAAGCGTATTTTCTTTAAACAGTCGTGCGTGATTTTGTGACATACAATCGTTCATGATGCATGTACCGCTCGTGCAGAAACTTCCGATGCCACAGGTGTCGAACTTCTTTTACCCGTTTAACACCAGTTTGGAAGAAGAAATGAAAAGATTATTTCAATTTACGATTGAAACACCACCTCCGCCCGTGCCAAACGGTAAGTTTAATTATCGATTATATTTTACTGTAGAAAAAGAAATTGGATAATATCGATCGAGGTAAAATACTTCGTTGTTTTAGGCCAATTTCTCAGGCGGTAAATTCTTGTCATTTGATATCCGTCTGTATCAAATTATTTGAATCGTGTCGTAGGTGAATATTGTGAAACATGAGATTATCACCTTAAACTGCTGAACGAATAGTTTTTCTATTAAAACGTAACGATCAAAAAATACATTTTGATCCGCCGCTTCATCGTTTGTTTACCGTGTTTCAATTCATTAACACCGGACGTTAAATTTAAAATTCTAAACTCTTATATACTTACAATTAATTTAAATAAATTTTCAGCGATTTTTTATTCCGGATAAGATATTTATTACGCGAGGTGTCCCACTATTTTCATACGCGACATTTCTTTATGTCGCTTGCCATAAACTGTCATCGGTATTCGTTTGTTTTATCCAAGATAGAAAATGGTTTCTCCTCGACTGTTAACCAATACGATTTTCTTTTAAACTTTTAAAATGTTCACCTTGTTTTTTAATTCAACTTAACGCTGATATACAGGTTTTAATTTTTAACCGTTGATTGGATGTCAATATGTCAAATTTTGGTTTGATTGGTAAGTACGTTCCACAGCTTTGTAAACAAACGAATCGATAAGAGGAATTCTGTTCTAAAACGTGCCAGGATCATAATGAGCCGTCGGAGATTCGTAGAATTGCTTGTAGAGTCTGCTTCGTTGAATCGAAAAAGAACTAGTAAAAAAGAAACTTAAAAAGAAATTCCAACGTTTTTAACAAATACTATCATCCTATATTTTTCTGAAAATTTCACAAATATTTTCTTTATTCGTAAAAACGTAAATAATAATATTATTTTGTCACGTGTTTGTCAATAACGCGTTATCTGGAAACATACTTCGGCGAGAATAAAGATCAACATCGTCGAATGTCATCGAAACTTCTTACGCATATTTCGTATCTGGATTTTAAACGACGAAAACAGCGTTTACACATAACTAAACACCTTTATTTCTTATTTTCGACGAGGAGCCTTAGCACTGTTTCTACGTCGTTCGAAAAAATAGGACGGTTCTGTTTACAAACATTGAAACTTGATACTTTGAGTTCGTTATTTTCTTCGTTTACGCTCTGCCGACTCGATCCTTGAAAAAGCCTAAATAGAAATAAACAGTTCACGATCATCGGATCGTTTAGTTATCGTATGTATTTTTTATCTTCCCTCGACACCTTCGAAAGTATTCGGTATCTTTTGACAGTTACTGCTTGAAAAGATTTACATTTACAACTTCGTAATCGGCCTTAAACGTCGTCTCACGAAAAATAGGGAAGATAGAAAATTAAATTGAATCTCGTTTGATGGTTGCAGTGGAGGCTGTAATGGAGGAGTTTCGTCGTAATGGCCGGGATTTTGAATACTGTCCAGATTTGGACAATGGTGCACCAGAAATAACGCCACGCCGCAAGAAAAATAAGAAACCCGCAGCTACAGAATGCGTTTTCTGTAAAAACAATGGTGAAGAGGAGGCTTACTATCGACAACACTCGTTGAAATATGATGACGGACGTGTCTCGTGCCCGGTTCTGAGGTATGTCGATTAAAATAATATCAAATCACTTTCTGTTAAATATTTAAAGGAAAGAAATGTTTGAGAGAAACGTAATATCTAAATTCGCGTTAAGAATGTGCTAAGTAGGTAAGAGAGGTCGCGTTATTTACACCATTGTTTTTCTGTGTCTTTTCAGGGCTTACGAGTGTCCAATTTGTCATGCTTGCGGTGACGATGCCCATACGATCAAGTACTGTCCCAAGAGGCCAAAGAGTCCCGGCACGATGCCAACAGTGAACGCCTTTAAATTGTTGAAAAACTCAATGGGTAAACGACGTGTCAAGTAAAGGGGCACGTGGCCTCTCTTGTGTGACAAGAAGAAGCACCGCTGTGCCATAAAAAATGTCTTTCTTCAAAGTTTTCAAGAAACAGATCTCTAAAACATCCAGCTTCGAACGTTCTGGTATCATCTGCTGGCAGGTAAACTGTTCGAAGTAAACGAGCCAAAGAAAGTAATCGTGCCAGAAATAAGCGTTGTCGTATTTTTAATAATTCGTGTAATAAAATTACCGCTTGGCGATCTACTGTTTTATATTAAACTAGGCGTTATCCATCTGTTTCTTTTACCGTTTGAGTCGCCGCAGAAACAACGCGATAGACAACATTTATAAAACAGCGTCGAAGCACAAATTGTTGAGAGAATTATTAACGAAAGCTGTATCCAAAGATCTTCGCTTAGATTCGTAAGCTAATTATTTATATCGTGTGTGCCATATGATAGTTTCGTTTAATTTCTCATCGTTATTACGAAAAGAACTTCGTAGAAAAGAATGTCGTAGATAGTGCACAAAGCAAAAATATTCGTTAAAATGTATCGAGGTTTTACCATCGTTCGAGCCAGCATTTGATACTTCAAACATTTCGATTTTTAACCGAAATTTATGTTCATTTACATGCGTTGACCTTAGTATAATGTACTTGCATATTAACCGATGATTTGTGAAAATGTTTACATTTCTTGAAATGTTCTTTTTTTAACGATTTTTTAAGGAAAACTAGTAGCAAATACTGTGATAATGCGAACAAAGACTCCATTTTTTACACAACAGCCATCGATTTAACTTTTGTGCGACTAAATTTTTGCAAGATCATAATATCGATCCCCGGTCAATCATTCGAGAAAGTAAAATAAGGTTTTTTGTTATTTGAAATTTTACACGAAAACTTGCTCGAACCATGTTCAGTGATCCGTATTAGGGATTACCTCTTTTGTCCTTTCGTCGGACATCTGATTAAGTTAAAAGTTGTTTTGTTGCCATAATGCCATTGAAATTAGGATATGACGTTTACACAAAACGCGGTTTTCTTCTATTTATACACTGCATCTAACAGAAAGAGATTGTATTTTTTGAGGTTTGCCAAAATTTCTTTTGTTACTTTACAAGATTTACGAAAGAAAAGATTCTTTCAATCGTGTCTTAAACGGTCGACGAATGACCAACCAGATGAAGTTCCTTTTAAAATTGCTATACCCAACTCTTTGTAGAGTTCGAATTGGGTCGTTTATGTCCAAGCCTTGCATTTCAACAAAAATGAAAGTTCGTCAAGTAAAATTTCGCTTGTATCCCGTGCGACCCCGTATTACAAGATGAAATATCGAGGAAGTTATATAAGTTTGCATCTCGTTCTTTCAATTTTTTTTAAATTCGTTCGACTCGGTGCTGTCTCTCGAGTAATAATTCTAAAACCAACATCATTTCGAATACATCATTTTATGGAACCATGAACGTGTGAAGCCTCTCTTGTTCCTGTGTATTCGGCCATGAGTTTTATCGAAGGTCATCGGACCAATGTTGCATGTATACATTGAATCTTTGTAATTACCATCTTTTGTTCGTTGCTTCGATGATTGATGGTTGAATCGTTGCTCTTTCTAAACAGAGAAGTTTTTATTCATCAGTTTGTAAAAAAGCGACATACTTTTATGGGAGAGACCCTTTAGGACGCAATCCGTATGATTCCTACAAGTTCACAGTCCTATTCGAGTTTTTGAAAATAAGTCTGGTAAAAAACGAAGCACCGTATATAGGTTAAAAAACGAAATCATGCAAACTTTATTTTTCCTTGCATATAAAGTTGAAATCTTAATTAGGAAGTAAGCAATTATATCTTTTTGAAAAGTGGGTCAGAATGCGTGTAATTATATTTCTTTTACGGCTACGTTCCTATGTAATTATTATGTCTTAGTATATACCATACATGTATTAAATAGGAATGACAGTTTATTATCTATGGATATATAGAGTATAGACAGTTTCGATAATAGAAATCAGACGATGTTTGCAGAATCTGATGTCATTCTGTTTTCTTACACGAATGTTTCTTTTGTACAGTGCGTTTCCGAAAGTTCCAGTATTGAGTTTATTAGCGTTAAAATAGATATTTAAGTTCCAAAGTAATTAGAAGTTATAAACTGTTATAATAATATTAATAATCCTTTATACAAATTGTTTATAAAGATCGTTGTACTCAGAATATTTATATACTTGTATTTAAAAATCGTAAATAGTATTGTTACTTCACCGATAGAATTAAGGAACATAAACATATTATATAAGTACGAACTGACTGAGAATAATATGATGAAGCAGCGTGCAAATTACAAAACGACGTATAATTTTCCACTTGTGGTGGGAAAAATTTTTGCGAAGGAAATACTCGTGATTTGTTACAAAAGTAATGAGACGTTTACATATTCCATTAGTTCGATAGAAAAATATTATCAGTAAAAATAGCTGAGCACGAGTAATTATTAAATTAATAATTTGCTTATTTGACCCTCGGCTCTGTCATTACTTTTCTGACGAAGAATGTTGCGTTATGTAGTGGCCGAGTTGGTGGTGAACTGCTGGCCTCATGCTACGTACACGCGGTGTAGATGATTCACAATTAAACGCGAGATGACGTTACCGTAATCTGATGCCAGCATGGTTTACGATTAACACCGGCAGGTGATAACGTAATAATAGCAGCTAAACAGAGGAAGGGTCTCCAACGTACAGTTATTACTTTATGTATTTCCATGCTTGCTTCGCTCACGATATTATTAATGGCACAATTTTTGTGCTGGTTCCATAACAAGAATTGTACAAATGTTTGAATTTCTAAGGGGAAATCTTTCTTTTCTATGGTTACGTCGGAAAATATTTTCATGCTTCGATGCTTTCAACGATTTAGATAAGAAGTTACAAAATATATGTATTTTCTAGTGTAACAATAAAAAGAGACATTTCCTTGTAAGTGGTCGTTATCCGATCCCGCACACTACTCCATATACATACATTAATGGCGAGTTATTCAATGACAATAATCAAACGGCTAATTGGTACAACTTACGCGATAGTGATTAATGGTATTTTTTCTTTCAGTTTAAACTTCGATAAATCAAAGACATTAAATTATATTTTGATTTTGATATTTTACGAATCTTGTCATCGCCGTTTTCTTATTATTATTTTGTATGCATCTATAATATCGCCGTAATATATAATTTTATATATACACACACATGTAAGCGTATACATATTTTTTGTATATGATTAAAATTATTTCTTATTCATGTTATATTATTATTGTATTATTAATATTATTATCGATGTGTTACTGTTTAAGTGTATGTAGTCTAATAATTTGTATCATGATTATTGATGTTTAAAAAACGAAGTACAATTTAAACCAAGTGTAATTTTTCTTCCCTTACCTTTACATCGTTTCAGTAAAACGAGGTCATTTGTTAGAAGCCGAGCAAAAGCAATTTAGAGTCTATAACGGAATCAGTATAATCGATCAAAAAAAAATACAGAGATACCGTACTTTGTAAGTGACCATAAAACCTTGCGTGACTTCATATTCCATGGAAACAGTTCGCGCTTTGTACGCGTGGTCGGACAAAAATCGTTAAAAGTCCATTGAAGGGAATTTTGCACTAACGCTTACAGTTCGTTACATTTACTGTATTAACGAAGTTGCCGCTCCTAACATTTTTATACAATTATAACATATTTATATTTAACTATAAGGTAAACATGTCACTCGTGTTTGTCGCGACCGGTTAATTGTTTTATTCTTAAACAAAAACTTGTAGCAGACTAGAATGATGAGTTCTCGGAACGCCAACACGAATATCTCGTATAAATCAGCTTACGATAACGAAAAAAATTGTTATGGCGCGAAGGAGAAATCAAGATACTGGTTTATCTAATTACATCTTCGAGTTAACGAACAAATTGAGATGCCTTATCATTTGGGAAATTGACAATTGGTCCAGGAACGATACAATCGACAATTAGGCCTCGTATCTGAATCTGGATATTCCCCGTATGTTAGGAAATACCGGCGTATCCTGTATGCATAAAGCGTCGACTGGCGTTAAAAATCGTTCAATAGAGGACGAGCTTCCGTCTAGGAAACAAGTCATGTTGCGGTTCTTTGGACTTGTTATTATTTTAATACTTTTTGACACGGTGTTACTAAAAGATTCGGATCAAATGTTAGTAAGGAGTGTCGATAGTTCGTTCCAGAGAGAATCGTCATCCTTTTTCCTGTTCCATTTGCTGAAACTGAAAAAGATTCAACAGATAGAGACGGTTCCAACTGTTCCACCACCCTCGGATTGCATCTGCGTACCCTATTACATTTGCAGCGCTAATCGTACCATAATCACAGACGGCATTATAGTGATCGACGTTAGGTAAGTTGTCTGAATCATTCGTTGAGTCGCGATTTCCAAGATCTATTCCCTAATCAGGTACCGGAGGTGCACAGGGGATCTAGAAGTATGCTGTCGAATACCGAACATCACAACTACAACAACAACTATGCGAACAACGACAACTACAAAAGCAACAACAACTACAAAAGCAACGACAACGACCCCGAAGCCTACCACGACTACCTCGACTCTTCCGCCAGTTGTGTTTCCCTCGACAGCGACTCCGACTACCCAAGTTTGCGTCTGTGTGCTGCTATCGCAATGCGATCCGAATGGAATTGTCGGAACATACGGGGAAGGTATCATCAACCCCCGTTTACAGGGTGTTCAGTGTCCCAGTAGCAATCAAGTATGCTGCAGACCAAACAGTGTAATTCAGTACACTAATCCTACGTCACAAACCTGTGTATTGTGCGGCAACACGATCCAGTGCAACAACGGGATCGTTATACCTGTGAATCCTTTGCTGACTTCTGGTCAGTGTCCAGTGCCTACCTCCTGTTGTCAGGGGGTGAATCCAACGTACGGGAACGGGATCCAAGTGGTGCTCGGTCCCGTTAAGTACTCGGGCACCCCTCAAGCATGTTACTGCATGATGAGTTGGCTATGTTCGCCAGGGAATACGGTCACCGTAGTCGGGACAGGGATAATCGACCCCAGGTTTTCTGCATGTGGATCCGCGGACCAAGTTTGTTGTCGTGCCAACGTATTGAGCGGCCAAAGGGCCATCGAACTACAAGGACGGGGAGAAAGTGTCGTAAACGGAGAATCATCGTTTTCTCGAGTGGGGTGCGGTGTCCAGAACAAGACATACGCGCCAGGTAGCGGGTGAAGCGTTTACTAGACCTTGTGGAGTTCGATGATTGGAACCACATGTTTCTTTCATAGCACAGCCCTATCCTGCGGACAGCGAGAAGACCTATTTTGCCGAATTTCCATGGATGGTTGCCCTACTAACAGTACAATCCGATGGCAAGTACCTGTTTCAGTGCGGCGGATCCTTGATTACCGATAAGGCGGTCCTTACAGCTGCCCATTGCGTAGCTAAGTAAGTTCAATGTTTTTTTTCTTGCAAGATAACTCAATTTTTTTGTACTATCTTGTAAAACGTAAAATGTTTGTTAGTGAAGGACGATGGGTAGCGCGTATCGGTCAATGGAACTTGAGCTATCAACCCGGTGATCAACCGTTGCCTTATCAAACTGTTAACGTAAAAAATATAGTGATTCATCCTCAGTTTGACCGCGATGCTTTGCTCAATGACATAGCTGTGCTCATTCTAAATGAACCTGTTAAACAGAGCATAAACGTTGTCCCGATCTGTATACCACAGCAGGGATTGATATTTCCTGCTGGTACCAGATGCATCGGGACTGGTTGGGGCAAAAATTCTTTTGGTAAGATAACCATAGTATTTAAGTTTGGGTATTAATTTTATCGTTAATGATTGATAATGCTAGGTGGCACGTATCAGACCGAACTACGGAAAGTACAAGTTCCTATTGTCGATAGAAACGATTGCCAAAATCGTCTTCGAACGACGGCACTTGGACCCAATTTTCAGCTGCACAGCTCGTTCACGTGTGCAGGTGGTGAAGCAAACAGGGACACGTGTCGCGGAGACGGTGGAGGACCCTTGATCTGCCCATCGGCTTCGGGGCAATTCTTTCAGGTAATCGAATTAGTTACCTGATTTACCTTTCCCTAAACCGAAGTCAAGTCCTCGGATAGTTGGCCATGTGCTGTCGGAACAAAAGAACGAAATATGCGGGATATACATATTGACAAAACGGAAGAAGCCACCCGAATGACAGAGAGCATGTAAAGAGAAAGTACGTCAGACTGATCATAAAAAGCCAACAAAAGATTACAGTTCGTTGAGCAGTTATAGGAAATGATGTCTCTCCTAAATGTTTACAATCCGAAAACTACCTTCCTTTACAATTTTCAAAGGTAGACAAACTGCGATATAATAAAAAAAAAAACGAGTTCAATTATTTCCATTTCAGGCTGGAATAGTGTCGTGGGGAATCGGTTGTGGAACTTCGAACATTCCTGCCGTTTATACGAACGTAGCGCAATATACGCAGTGGATCGAACAACAATTGGTAACTTATGGAGCGTAACAAATAAAATAAATGTATTTTATAAATTATTTCATGTAATCTTTTTTTAATCTATGATACCCCTTAGTTTGTTGTTTTTAAAACCAGTGTGTACATAATATATATAATGTTTATTTTTAATTAGGCGTTAATGTATTTTATTGTGAATAAATTTATAATAATATGTATATAATTATTAATACTGTTATAGAATATATATGATTTTTTAAACATAATGTGGGTAAAAATCGCATTCCGATATCAATTCTTCCAATAGCCGTGATCGTCTAGTGGTTAGGACCCTACGTTGTGGCCGTAGTAACCCAGGTTCGAATCCTGGTCACGGCAATGTGCACGATCACATTGTCACGGTGGAAGTTTATTTTTTTTTTATAATATTATAATTAATATATGATTTAACTATATTATATCCTATACCTACATGTATTTTTATATATCTTTAAATGTTATTTAGTTAAAAAAATACAACGCGATCTTGAAATTGACGTAAATGACTGACATAACCTACAATTCACATAATTTTACGTAACAAATATCACTTACAATTGTATTATTTAATTAGAGAAATATGAAACATAAAATGAATTCGTTATAGAAGTAAACAATACGTATCCCGTAACGTCACACCAATTAACATTTATTCAGCAATTATCTACGTGTACATCAATTTGTGATACGGACGTCACGATACAAATTACTGCGAAATTTGCTTGCATTGTTAATAGTTTGTTAAACACGAATGTCATAACTGTTATTTAGTAGATAATCACATCCATCTTTTCTTACAATGCGCTACATTGTATGGTGATCTTATCGCCACTGAAATGACATCTGGTGTAAGACAGTACAAGATAAATAAATATCTGTCAACCATTTATAACGATTACAAAATTTAATGGGAAGTTTTTTATCTGATTTTGGGGGGTATGCATTCGAAGGAAGGAAAATCAGAATTGGAAAGAACTATGTTTAACCTTCGCCTAGAAAAGATTCTCAGAAGTTATAGAACGCTGGCTACATTTAAATACGATGGTAATTGAAATCAATCGTACATAATTCATTTATAATTTACAATTTTTGATAACGTAAATGCATAGAACTTTTATTAAAGAAGTATTGATATCTATGGTAGGTATAACTTTTTTCCGCATATCGTATGGATCATTTTTGCAAATATCGAACGTTTACCGTATAGCTAGAAACTAATATGGGGAATTCCACTGATTCGAATCAGTGAGGTCAGTAAGCTATTCAACGAGAAAAGAAGAAACGTATATACGCACGTTCGATGCTGAAATGTAGAATCAAGAAATCAGAACTGGTGGGGAGAATTCACATAAATGCTCGGTCGTTACGTGTATGTATGTAAACGAGGAAACTGTGGCTTCGCCGTCCAGTAAGACGCAATCGTGTGTTGTTCTTTGAAGAGAGAGGTCTTTATTTTGTGCTAGGAATCGATTTACGGTGAGTGTTTTATCTTCATCGACATTTATCGATTGTAGTAACGAAACTGATTCCTCTTGTTCCTCGTTCTGGACGAAGCGTTGAATTTTTATATTAATATCAAGAACCAGAATTTATATACCTACGTGCTTAACAACTCTACTTCGAAAGGTTTAAGAAGTCTTTTGTGTCTTCCAAAATACTCGATAATTGTATCTTGTAAATAACAAGTAATTTCAGTTTAATTTTTTTCGATGACATACGCATAAACTGTGCCGTATCTTCTTTATATTCAGGGCTCTTTGTCTCCAAGGTCCATTTTCCTCGTACAAACAGGTTTCTGTATACGAACGTCATACAACTTTTTCTGGAAATTTGATGTAAAGAGAGGGAAGTGCCAAACATGGATGGTGGTATTCATACGTAGAAACGAACTTAAAATCCAGCTAAAAATTGATATTTTTTTTATTGAACTCGTAACAATGAAAGAAACATTTTTCTGGCATTACTTGTCGAGAACACCAGTTGCATATCATACTGGTTCTCTTAATTTGTAATTATTTTAATTATTGTTTATATATTAAATAACTTCCTTCTGATCGAGCCGCACATCAATTCATTGAATTATCAATTTTATAAAATAATATTGATTGAGGATTCTGAATATGCTTACAAATTTTAGCGAACAGTTATCGTCTAGTAAAGCTCGTATCAGTTCTCGGTTGAGGTCAGTGTTGAGAATTTTTAATTTGATTAAGATGTCAAGACGGAGATGTTTATGTAATTTACATGTATTAATAGCGACTCATTAAATAGGTTTTTTTAATTTATCAGGAATATCTTTTAATTCGTTGTTTATCGTTCAACGATTTTAGAAAATGACGCCATCCACCGAATATTTTTCGTTCGGATGTTTGACTTCTCTTTGACACCGTCACAGAACGATTACGATTATTCTCGGAAATTGTATGGAGGAAAATTCTGTTACCAAGGATATACGCAATTATATAGTTATGAGTACATCTGTGCATTTGTAATGATCTTTATTTATCCGTTTGCAGATCATAGCTATAGTTTATTGCAGTACCGTTTGATACGATATCCTGAAACACTCGAAACACATAATCTGACGGCCTTTGATTTCTCTCGGTGATTTTTAACTGATATATGTTTACCATTCTGCTACGAGAATATCTAAGTGTATTTGATTTTTCAACTGGATCTTACGATTCTGTTTATTGATACAAGCTTTGATTTATACTGATAAAGCTCATTAAAAATATATTTTTAAGTTAGACTTGTGTAAAATACAGCGAGGAACTTTTGAAATTTTATTATATCATCATTGTTGATGTTTAATGTTTATATAAACAGTTAAGTATCAAACGCATTAGCGCAAAAGGATTAAACGCGTCGAATAGCTAAATTATATGCGCGCACATATATCGATTCCCGTTTTATATCCTTGTCGATGATCACGTCTCTTGTATTACTGGTTTTGTTGACTGTGAAATCATCTTTATTTATGTACAAAAAAAATATGGCCAAATAGTCAGTTAGGAATTTCTCGCGATAATGATTCGCGAAACGAAATTTTAATCTTTCTATATTTTTCTAATATCCATGCACTATTTCCCCTGCTTATATTTGACAAGTCAAAATGTGTGACAATTGTTTGAAGCACTTTAAACCCTCATCTTTTGTTATTTCTACAAATCGTTTACGGAAAATCTACTCGACCTAAGAATTTTGAAATTGTTTGCAGGACCTCCGACGCAGCGATGCGAATAATACTATTAACACTGAGTCTGGCGGGCTATTGTCTGTCCCTGCCAGCTCCTCAGGACAACTTAGACAATCTGATAGCGAATGTATTCAAACCAGGTACGCAAAGTCAAACAACTCCTAAGGCACCACAAGATGGTAGTTTGTCTTCGTTGATATCAAGTGTCTTCGATAGTGGATCAACAAGCACTAACCCGCCAGATACTATCTTAGGAGTACAGAATACACCGAAATCAAAACCAACGGATTGCGAATGCGTGCCTTATTATCAATGTCGCAATGACACTATCACTCAAGATGGTGCGGGATTGATCGATATCAGGTCCGGTTTTGGTGACAGTATGATTTCCTCTCGGTGAGTTCCAAAGATTAGTCTCAACGACGAGGAGAATGTCCACATCGTATTAACGTGGAATGGTTTGTAATAAAGGTTTGATTGATTGTACCGACGTTTTGGCTCGTCCTTGAATCAATCACTTTCTTGGAAATGTATAAGGTTACAAAATTTATGTATGCATGCTTAAAGTACTGTGGCTGATGGCATAGTACCGAGGGAATTAATTCGTCAAAGTGTTTGTGTTCAATTATGTTCAAACATTAATCGCCTAACAAATATGAATGTGGGGTTTTACATAATCGATTTATTTTATTCGAAATATGCATACCGCTTGAGACTGTCTTTGGATATATCCTTCAATACTGCATGGGATTTAATATATTTTTAAAGGTTATTTAGAAACGTATTTCCAGTACAAGTAATGTATACGTTTGCTTAACTCCTTCTCTGGGTATAGAGCTGGTGGTCCATGCGACAGTTATTTGGACGTGTGCTGTATGCCACCAGACAGGTTGAATCCGACAGAGATAGTTACATCAAAACCCGTTCAGAGGACTGGCTGCGGACGAAGGAGAGCGACGGGTGTTGGTTTCAGAATTACTGGGAATAACAACAACGAAGCTGAATTTGGCGAATTCCCATGGATGGTAGCGATCTTGAAAGAAGAAACAGTCGGTGACAATAATCAGAAATTAAACGTTTATCAATGTGGAGGTTCCTTGATTCATCCACGGGCTGTTTTAACGGCCGCTCATTGCGTGCGAGGGTAAGAAACTGTCTCGCTTATTTCTTTTTACTATATTTCTTCGACGTATACGAGTAATTCTGCAACAGAAAGGAGCCGCTAGAATTGAGAATTCGTGCAGGAGAATGGGACACGCAGACTAAGAGTGAACTTTACCCTCATCAAGACCGCAATGTGCAAACTGTAATCATTCATGAAAAGTACAATTCTGGTGCTCTTTACAACGATGTTGCTATTTTAATTTTAACCGAACCAGTAACCTTAGCGGAGAATGTGGATCTCGTTTGCTTACCAGAACCAAACACGGTGTTCGATAATACGCGGTGCTTCGCCACTGGATGGGGAAAGGATATATTTGGTAAAGATGTTGATTATTGCATTAATTGTATACGTAGATTGCTTTCAGCTGATGGAACTTGATTGCTCACCGTTCAATACTGTATCGAATATTTCAGGTAAAGAGGGTCATTATCAAGTAATTCTGAAGAAAGTAGAGTTACCGGTAGTGCCGCGCGACAGCTGTCAGACCAGCTTACGAACCACGAGATTAGGAAAATACTTTAACTTGCATGAAAGTTTCATATGTGCTGGCGGAGAACCTGGTAAAGATACTTGCAAGGTAATTTAATACTTTAAGTACTCTAAAGAATATCTTGGACACTGTTAATTAAATACTCTGCGATTAATCTTGTCACAAACGAAATTGTAATCGGTGTCATGTTTTTTACAGGGTGATGGTGGAAGTCCTCTCGTATGTCCAGTTGCAAACAACCCGAGCAGGTATATGCAAGCAGGTATCGTAGCATGGGGAATCGGTTGTGGTGACCAAATTCCAGGTGTTTATGCCAACGTTGCCTACCTGCGGGATTGGATCGACGAACAAATAGTTTTTAATAACCTAGACAATACCGTTTATAACTACGCACCATAAAAATAGACTGACTTTTGTTATAAGAGCATTTTGTACACTTGGGCGCATCAAAAATGTAGCTGTTTTTTCTTTATGAAAAGACTGTTTTATTATTTGTATGTAATTTTTAAAGTAATAATGCTAACGATAACAATACTAATTTTGCACTGTTCGATGGAAAGAAAGAAGTTTAACTGTTTTAATAGAAATCTTAATACTCTCGATGTAACTTTATCATTGCCCTTGTTCTTATCGTCTTCTATTATTGAAAATAAAAACACGTTCTTCGTTTACAAGGTTGAAATAAAAGGTTGTAATATAAATAATTGAAGTGTTCAATAATGATGTGGAGGAACATAAAGTTTGCACGTGGTTAGCAAATGACACAGTTTATGGCTCTACTATTCGAATAGCTTTTCCAGAATCGCTAAAGAAATTGTATGGTATTGTGTTTCTAAAAGCCTCTCCTGCAAGAAGTGTGCCTGCTTTTTTAGAAAGTTATTGTGAACGATCTTTTACTGGGATTGTCTGCACGTGCTGGACGTTTTTATTAGAAGCTTTTTCTTAACAGCAATACTAATCTTTTAACCTTTTAACATCTGCGTTCCAAGAGTTCCACTTTTATTGAGACGTTATTTAGAAAATCCTCGTTGTTTTCTTCTCAAGGCCGAGTTAATTTCGTGCTTTGTTTGCACATCGATTTATTATACGTCAGTATAGAAATATTGAAATGTTTCGTATGTATTGGAATATTATTAAAATCATTAAAAATATTTGCAGATAAGGTTCATTCTCCTAATTGCCTGTACTAATTGTTTAAAAAACTTTTATTTAAAGTATGTATTAATTTTTTGTCAAGTTTCATATATTTCACAATGTATGTATTCGACTGTTCCTATTTTTCTTCTAATTATTATTTGCATGTACATATTGAGTGTTTACATAATCTATAAATAAATAAATAACGAGCAATCCGAAGGGAATGCTTTTTTGATGTAACATTTATAAGTTTCCATTTGTTTGAATCATTTGTAATAGTAAAATTTTAAAGCTTACATAGTAATTTAAGCTTTAAAGTAGTGCTATACACAGAAAATGTCTCACACCCACTTCGCGCCCCGTTTGGTTACCGTCAGATGCGTTCAAGAAGTGCTAGTGGGTGCATGTTGTCTCGTAATAAGAAAGAACAGCAAATTCTGCAAAGACGGGAATTCATTAAAAATAAAAGTTGTAATTGAAACAGCATTATTTTTACGTTCACATACAAATTGATTCAGTAGAAAATTGACTATAACTAATGTATTCATTATCAAAAAATCATGGAATATTATTTAGAAGTGAATGAAATATTGAAAGAAACCTAACGTAGACATTTAAGTAGAATACTACTATAAGAAATTTTTGTTTTAATGAACGTAGTAATTACTTGCGGAAAAGATTCGAAACATTTAGATTTTCTGTGTCAGTATCGATATATCGATCGCGGCTTGTGATTCTCGAAAGTTAGTCATAAGACTTGAACATTTTCGCGCTTCCACGCAGAACAAATTAAATCGTGTATGCACACGTTTATTTATATATATTTGATAATATACGGTAATGAAAGTGTATTTTGAATAAAGAAGCACATTTCGTGAAATTCTTTTGTTTCTTTTTATCAGAATCGAACGCGGTAAGTACTAGCAATCACATGTTTGATGCGTAGTTGCATTTTGTTTTATTAAACACGTGTTCTTTTATTCCAAAGTTTAAAGTTAAATTTTGTTCTATATAAAAATATACATAATTGATAAAGATGCTAAAACTAATACGTAATGTTTATTATAATTATCTTAAACATTTATAGAAATGATTGTTATAAACAATATTGAAATGTTATTAACCACCTAAGTCTGTATTCTTTACGGTTTTTAAGAAATATAATGTAGTGCTAAATTTAATCATGTAATATTAACTTTGTTTTAATAGTATATTGGTCTTTATATCATCAGGATATTATATATGGTTTTATGTAGTAATGGTAGTAATGGGAAGGAAGGAAAAAGGTAACTATTGTCATCGACAGAAAGATATTGCAAAGTTTCAAATAGATAATAAAAAGGACATATTTGATAATGTCAACTTAATGAGGGAAGAATCTAAATCTAATTTACAAGATAAATATAAAGAAATCTTGGGTTCAAGAAAACCAATTGTTATTCTAAATGACTGTTTAAGAACAATGTGTAAAATTATAAGTACAAATTTAAAGAATAACACTAAGAAAAATACCATGAAGAAGAATTTAACAAAATCTACAATACATAAAAAAAGAAAACCTGAACAAAAATTGCCACTGAATGATGATATACAAGCATCTAAATTTAATCCTAAATTAAAGAAAAGAAAATCTAAAAAATTGATTTTAAGTACCAAAGCACTTAGTCCTGATTCATGGCAAATAAAAAATGGTAAGTATTATAATTGTTACCTGTTTCTAAGCTTTGTTAATCTTATTTATCATTTAAATGTTTCAGATGTAGATCTTAAAGCTAAAGCATTGAAAGATAGCAAAAATTTAAAAGTTTGTTTGGAGAAAATTACATATCTTGATAAAAACTTGTATGATATAGGAAAAACTGATAAACCAAAAATGGGTAAAAAAAATTATGTTAAAAAGCGGGTTAAAAATACACAGGTTGAAGAAAAACATAAGAGAACTATAAAGGACAAAGTTAAGAAGAAGCAAAAACGAAGTACTTCTACAAATTTTAATGTGACTAAAGATAAAAAATCATATAGTTCAGGTATTGATTGTGACAGCTTTTCACACAGTGCTATAGACTTTTCAAATGCAATTTTTCCTACAAATTACGCAGTGAATATGGAAACACCAAGCACTATTAACAATCAACTTGTAAAAGAAACAAATGATTGTTGCATGAGCACTGGAGAAGGAGAAAGAAATGTTCAAAATCTTGTGTGTGAAAGTCTTGATGAAAATGTTAAAACAAGAAATCTACCAATTGTTATTAGAGAAGATATATTACATAAGCATTCCATTTTACTCAATGTGAAAGCATCAGAAGCAAGCGAGAATAATAATGAGAGTTTAATATTCTATAACAATAACAATATAAGTAATGGAATAATTTTTCGTGAGTTTGACTTTTCTCAAACTGTTTCGAGAAAGAATTCTCAGAATGTTATACATGTCAATGAATGTCTTGAGATTAATGAGAAGGGAAATTCAGATCTTAAAACTAATAATGTTATATCAAAAATGCAGGTAAAAAATATAGATTTTGATAAAAATACCAATTACGGACATGGAATAAATGCACCTAATAATGAACATTATAGTACTTTAGGAAACAATGTAAAAAATTTTTCCTGTAATATACAAAATAAAAATAGTAATTTAGAGTGGAAGGATGAACTTGACAAAGAAAACAACAAAAATACTTTATCATCTACACAGTCTTTTCTTTCTGAAGATCACGTTTCATATAATGCTGTTAATGCTATTAATAATTCAAAAAAAGAGTATCTGACTGTGGAAAAATCTTTGAACGCATTTAATAATAATTCGGCGTCGAGATATGTACAAGACCGCGTATCTATAGATACCCAAAATGTCACAGAAGACGCTAAAAATATTAGTCAAGACATTGATAATGATCAGGCAGCAAAAAGAATAAAATTAGATCGTAATCACTGGTGTAAAAGTGTTACAAATGCATGTAAAATGAAGGAAAATGTTGATAGTTCTAACAATATTGTATTAGGTAAAGGAGATGCAATGAAAAAATATGATGAACCAAAATCAAAAATCGATGAAATTATTTCGGATCTAATAAAACAAAATGAAACGAAAAATGTTAAGGATATTGATGTTCAAGACAATAATTCATTAAATATAAACAAATCCGAGGAGGTAGTATCAAATATTTATGACTCATCTATGGAGACTAAGTGTTCAATATCAGGCTCAGTACATAACTCTGATGATGGAAGTGACTATATTTCTTTATTTGCAGATTCAGCAATCATAGATGAGTAAGTGTTTGTAATCGTTATTGTGTTCTGATGTAGTAATATATATAAAATTTACTATTTTTTTTTTGTATGATCGACTTAAGTACTTCAAAAATTTTGCAGTGTAAATTTGTATTATTTTTTTCAGGTATGATACTGTAGTGAAGTCTGATTCATGTGAAAAGATATATCATATGACTGATACTTCATTTGATAATTATTACAAGAAAAACAAAATTGAATTCAATCAAATATATGAAAATAATGACGTAATTAATATTTCGAAAAAAACAAACTGCCTATCAGCAATAACAGTAACAAGTACAAGGACATATGCGATGGTGCATCAAAGTCCTTTACTCATGTCTGCATTTCGAGGTCACTGTTATAAATTTATAAGTAGTGGTGAATGTTTAAGGAATAACTGCACTTTTAAACACAATGTATGTATGCAATCGTTATATTATTATCTGCATTTTCACAAGTAGTATTTTTTATTTTATGTAACATATTTCTGTTTATATTATGCAGTTTCTATTGACTATGGATTTATTATATCGTAATGACGAACAATATTTCTTTGAGGTGTTAAAAGAGTTGGCATTAAAAAATTTTATAATTTTTATTGAAAAAGTTGTTTTGGAAATAATGCTTTATGCCAGTAGGAACATTGTTTATATATTAAAAATACTAAAAAAGTTATATGAATTAAAAAGTATAACTAACAAAATGATAATTGGTATTATTCAGTGGTTAAAAACAAATAGTAAAACTTTAAAAGTAGTTAGCAATACATTAGAGACTATTGTGAACAAATATGATTTTAATTTCGTGAATTGGATGTTGGGTGTTTTACAAAGGGCTACAGAATGTGGTGCATATTGGGATACCTTTAGAAATTTATTAATACAAACAAAATATTTAGAGCCACAGATTATAGAAAAAGTTCTACGAGAATGTATTATTACAAAAAAACACCTTCAGGATATAAATATTAATATTATACAAAAACTTAACACGAACAGTTGTTCCGAAATAAATAAGGATTTATTATTAACTTTTGACAATCTAATTAAATCTGAAAATAATTCAGAGGTAAAACAAGATGCATTAACAGAATCAATCAGTAGTATTAATTCAGCTACTAATACAAATTCTAAAACATTTCACCAAAATAATAATTCTGACAAAACGGATACCGAAAATGGTAATAACACAGATACACATAATGAAAATTCTGGTTATAGATTGCACCCAATAGGTAAAGATTTACAAATGATTTCCGTTTTTCTTTTATATATTTTCGTATAACTACATGCAACATTCAAATTATCACACGTATTTCTTAGATAATTTAGCAAGACCATATTCTGTACACGGGAGAAAAAAGTTTTGGAAGTTTTATATCGATGTTTATAGTCTTCAACAAGGACTTGAGAATAATGATTACGATCACGTCATGAAAATTCTTAATTCAGTTAAGGAAACTGAACAGTCAGTTTTTACTTGTGCATGTTACCAAATTTTGTGCAATGAAATAATGCATTCTCAATATCATCTGAGTAAACTTATTGTAGAAGCAGGTAATCTACAACTTAATTAAATGTCGTAGTTTTAATAAAATACAAGATTACCAAAATCATGTTTCTTTTTCTTTTTCATTTGTTAATCTTGTGTTTAGATATTTACGTACTTGTTTTTATATTGCAATTTTCGTATAAAATAATAAGAAGCAATTTAGTTTAAATTACAAATACTAGATTTATATTCATTTCCATATTTTTATTTAAGCAATACTCATTTTAGATGCATAAATATATGTTATTTTGTATAAATCAGTATAAATTTATTACTTTGTATAGTATAGTAATAATTTATATAAGTACCTTTGTATTGACGAAAATATAAATAAAATAAAATTATTGAAATATGATTTTGATGATTATTTAAAAATGTACCTAATTTAATGCTTTTTTTTGGACATTACAGTCCGAATTGGATCAACAGGAGTACTGTATCAAATGTTACTTGACATTGCTATTTGTATTTTGGCCTATCTGGCTGAGAACAGTTTGTGGGTGCTAGCACATACATTGCTCAAAGATGTATATATTATGTTAAAAAGCAATATTAATTTATATCAATTTAACGCGGCAACTATTATGCTATTTGCAGAGATTTACTTAGCAAATCAACAACCTGTAGAAGCTTTAACTTTATTTAAACGTGAGTTAACAGTTAAGTTCTTTAAGTTCAAATTTTCTAAAATAACTTATATTTTCAGAGTGTAATATTATTTTTACTAATCGATCTAAATGGAAGGTACAAAGTACGAGAAAGGATGATTATACAAGATCTCAAATTATAACGCTTTTATTAGACGCACTTTGCACAATGTTTCCAGAACATGCATTTTTTTTATTTCAATTTTTGATTGCGGATCAGTATAGTAACTTTTATCCAATAGGTAAGAAAAGTATACAAATATAGACTAAGCATTAATATTTAAACACATGCTGTTTGTTTTAGATCTTACTGATTGTGCAAACAAAATAGTGTCAGTACTTTTATCAAAAGAAAATCATGAGCTGATTATAGAAGTCGGAAGATTAATTGATAGCTATTATTTTACACTAGATGCAATTACATACCGTGCACTGATCGCTACATTAGTTCACAGTGATATGTTTTTGGCGAAACAATTATATCAAAATGCAGTTGCTTTGGGAATATACTCTAAGCCACAGGTGTGTTGATATACCTGTAATCATTTATTTTTTTATTGAATAAAGTAAAATTATTTTTTTATTATTCTGAAATATTATAATATGTTAATGTACGTATTATATTTACCATTATTCGAGATTAGTTTCATCCAGTAATACATCTTATTATAAATTCTGACTGGACAAGAGAAGAAATGTTTCTTGCAATTACTGACTTAATGAAACAACTTTTATCCAATATTGGGCACGCAATTGATCGAATTTCTCCAAGACAACTAAGTGTGTATCTTATTTTTGAAGTAAGTTGCAATTTTTTGTATATTTTATTTAGAACAAATCGAAATACGTAGTTTCATTAATTTTTATTTTCTTCACAGAATATTTCATTAGAAAAACAAGTTAATTACGATACGGAAACGAGTCACTATTATAATGAAAAAATTAGAAGAAGTAAAATATTAATGAGAAATCTATTGAAAGAAAAATTTGATCCACCTATTACCGTATCACATTGCACTACAGGTAAGATATGCAAATTAATTAATAAGAGCGTCCTGGCGTATTTGCAATCGGAACACTATGAATAATTTGCCAATGTATCTTTGTTTATTAAGTATAATCACGTGTTTAAGTAGGATATTTAACATAATCAAGGCTAATTAAAGTATCTTAATTGTAATAGTTTATCGAGTTTTGTATAAAAAGATAAAATTTTATGTTTTGAAATTTGTAGTGTATAATGCATCTACATACTCTGATCATTGTTTAATTCTGAAGTATAATTTTAATTTTTCAATTCTAAATACAGTAATTGACAGATACAATTATATTTACATTGTACACCGTTTATTATAAATTATAAAACGTAACTCATAATTTTGAGTTGAATGTTTTGTGAAAAATTAAAATATATTATAAGAAAACTATAAAACTTACTATTATTATTATTACGAAATAATAACGAATTTGTGATAATATATGTACATTTAAAGGTATATAGCTGTGCATACAATAAAATAATTTTAAGTCAGTATTATAATTATTTTTGGTATATTCTGTACCTAGTCTTAATATTATATATCAAATTCAAAAGCTGTAAACATACAATTTATACCAATGCAATGTTACTACTTTGAACATAAAGTTATATATGTTACAAGAATGTGCAATTTTAAGCTTACTATTCATTTGCATATGTACAAATATTGTAATATAATACTGTATTGCATTGCCCTACGCATTCTTTAGAGATTTGTAATCAGTTTAATTATCACAAAAATATAAATATTTATAATTTAACACCTATAACAATATGCTAAATAAATCCATATAGATGGAACACATAACATACTAATGAAATAACAATTGATTAGTCAAACTCTGGTATATCATCAAAGGAATAACCTGGCACTTTCTGATATGCTAAAACAGCTACCCTCATATGATAAGCTCCCGGTATGAACATTAAAATACCTAAAATAATAACTGGCCACATACGATCTGAGTACTGTAAAAAGATAAAAATGTCTATTAAACACAACTTAAATCAGCTGATGTTATACCTTGCTGATTTTAATATATTCTGACCATCCTTTTAGAAAGTCTTACCTTAGAGTCAAAGTGTCCACTCACGATTAGACTTCCCATGATAAGCATAATGGTACCACCAATAAAGAGAAGAGCTGCTAACGTAATAGCTTTCCATGGTATTTTTACAGGTGGATTCACAAACTGTTAAAAATAACTTTGTGTTTGCTAATATGCTTATGTTATTGTAAGACAAGATATTTAAAGCGTGCACAAAACATAATGATAACCTGAGAATCAATGAAGCCACTATCAGTTTCTGTAAGCTGAGTATAATCCACGTTGCTGAATTGTCTGTCACTGCCCAGTTTCCTTCTGGACATACTCAGTTTATGAATATGATCTAAAATATCGACCATAATAACAAAATTATTGTTATGAACGTAATCGACTTTCGTTCATAAATAAGAATGAAATTAAGTAATATACATGAAAGTTCAAAGTAGCAGGTTGTGTTATTTTATTTTTTAATTTTTTAAAGTATATAACATTCATTTTACTCGTTTGCATACAACTGTATGTTAAAAATACGTACTGTTTTCCAATTGTTCGAAATTATTGTCTTACGAGCTTAGTTAACTTTTATAATATCGGTTAATCGTAATCGATCCTTAATTAAAAACTGCTATCACTGATAATTTTATGCTATAAAGAAATTTTGTTTGATTACTTTTTAAAATTTTTTACGGAAGAAACAAGTAAATATGTACAAATATGTGTAGAAGGTTATGTATCTGTTAACATATGATAATGCGCTTTCATGGTCAGTTCAAAACGCATGCGTATTATTGAAAATCGAGATAAACACACTTTGAGGGAAAATTTTAAACAGCTGATTATTTATTATCATGGGCCAGTAAACATTAAAGTATATTCAAAATCATCTGGATGAAAAATGAATCGAGAACTGTTATCACGAAAAGATTTACCTGCACCAAAGCAGTTCGTCCACATATCAAGTCACAATTATGCACTTATGGTCAAAATATTATTGAAATCTTTTTCTTTTCTCAATGTCGATGTTTACAGAGAAAATGTTGCACGATTTTGTGAGAAAATCATACATATTTCAGACGTAATAAGAACACTGTTCTTCTCAGTATGTCTCGTATACACGCAATGAGAAAATTTCCAAAATTTTTCTAAACATTTTGCAAGGCAGTATGAAACTCATAAAGTTTCAGTTGTTTCTGCTTAGTTACATTTCAGTTTGCCCTTTAGTTCTACATTCTACAGATTAATCGAATCCACTGTAATTTCTACGAAATAAGTCGCAATGCGTTGCTTATTGATCGCACATTCAAGATCGTACTATTTTACAATGAACGAAAAGCACTTATTCGGTAATTTGTCACACAAAACGTTACTCTCGAGTCATTTAAACTCGAAATTTTCTATTACGGTCCTCGTCAGTTAGCTGGATCGATCTGCGAAAATAAAGAGGCGGTGGAAGCTGTGTTCTGCGTTGCGACGTTCTACACAGTACCGTACAGCAACGAGGGGTTACGATGATTAAAAATTTTTCGAAATAAACATTCAAGATAAGATAACAACTATTTCGTAAATATATGAATATAATCAATGTTATTATATGTAATTACAAAGTGTTTACTGCTTCTACTCCTATCTGCTTATTGACGAAAGAAAAATTCTTTTACAACCACTGTTTTAAACAAACAAATTATACATAATTATACACCTTAAACTTGTTATAAAGGGTGCATAAAAATATCGACTTGTAAGTCAAATACGATTATTTTTTTGCATTTTATACTTACGCGCGCTTTGAAAATATCATTGGTGTCATCTAGCGGTGACTCACTAGGCGCAGGAAAGAAAAGATTATAAAATAAGCTACTTTTACGTTATATTTACGCAAACAGAGAGTTTAAGGATCACAATGTAATTTAATTGAAGGTATTACAGTCCACGCAAAGTGTTAAAACACGTAATTAAAGTAATAATTACGTTTTACAAACCCTGAAACGTTATAGCCATCTAATGGCAGACTACCGGAACTGCAATTTTGTTTCCGTTTAGTTTTAAGGTTCTCCGGCAGGTGGTACTAGTAGTTCTATTTTTAAAACGCGCTGCGATACAAAACTGTAAAACATGATTCATGTATTACGATATACACCTTCTGTTTATTGGACTTCCTCACACAACTAATGAAAGAGGATTGGTAATTGATGTCTTGAAATATATAGGACAATTCTGCAAAGAAGTTTCCTATCATTTCGTGATCTTGAAAAGTAGCATATAACAGAAGGAGAATGTAGGCAAAGGGAAAAATGTTTTTTCATTATTATGCGTATAAATTTGATTTAGAAAAGTTCTGTATAAGTCTGTATCGTCATACACATATTTATTAGTCTATCTTGCATATTCGAACAGTACCAACTTTCGTATGCCAAGCGTATCGAAACACACCGTGTGCAGAAAGGTTGCGAATTATCTGCGCGAAAGGGAAGAAGGGTCAAAAATAGAACAGAAAGAGACAATACATCTTTCTGGATGGAGACCGTCTGTTAGATACAACAGTGTGGAGAAATAGCTCGATAAATGCGGTCACGTTTCACTCGTATCTCTGCAAAAATATCGATTTCCACCTGCAAGGTCTAGTTAACCTCCTTCTAGGTTAACAAATTTAATAGTCACCTACCAGCACATTTTATATCGTAGAGTATTTAACAAATACATATATAAACATTTGAATTGTTTTGCAATTTATTAATAGATCGGTGTCGACCGATTCCAGATAACCGCGATTGTCTCTACTCGGTCATTCGTTCAAGGTCTCAGATTAGAATCTTGTTTAACAATATTTAAATCGTCTGGATCACGTTTGATTTGACGCAAGGATTATGCGGTACAAGGTATGAAAAGATAGCGATACGAGACTGAAGAGATTGCCGAGCCTGCGCGAAGAGTACCGCGGCAGCGTCGGGTGCATGGAGGGTAACGGTGGCTCAGGGGCGGCAGTGCGGGTTCAGGGGGCAGCGAGGGCGGGTGCCTCCGTTGAAACTACCCCTTGACAACAGCCCACAACTGTTCTTCGTCGTTCTCACCGAATTTCACGCCGCGGAATTTTTCTTTCTTCCCGTTTCTCCACTCGGTCGGAGCATCGAGGATCACGCGGCTCGTTCGTTCAGGTAAATCAGAAATATTCGAGAGATCTTGCTCTGGTCAATCAAGTGATTTCTTCAATTCGTGTCCATTCCCTTCGCGCAGGTTGTGGGTCCGTGTAACACATCCGGAACGTCGGTAATCGTCGGTAAGTACGGTTTCTCACGATACAGTCACTCAATAAGACCAATTGTTGTTTATAAATCACAGTAGCTTACATCCAACGCTTTGGTACGAGTTACTCGTGGTATACGCTCGCTTGTTCGGGTATGTAACGAACAATCGAACTTGTCAGGCAACTATGTCTCGAGAAATCGTGCTCACCGATGATTACCGACATCGTATCACGATCTGCGTAAGGGGTATGTTCACAGAGTGAGGAAAAGCACTCGGTAGACAGGAGCAACGTTTGCCTATCTTCGAGGTAAATCCACGCAACTGAAGGTGGTGTGCGTAAAGTAGACACGCGACGACGATGTACGTATATCGGTGCAAAGGTGTCCATCTAGAAGGTCTAGAAGACGATCCTCTCGCGGTGGTGTGCCCTCGACGGCTTGTTTGACGCGCGTCGACTTGGGTCGTATAGTGCTTCCTGTTGTGACGTATAATTGACACCGGTGCGTGACACACGGCACACGGTTGCTGCGAACTCGATGACTGCTCATCGACGAATCGTCATTCTCGACACGCGCTTCGGGATGCTGTGAATCTAACACGTATGAATTTACACTGGTACAAGTATTCAGAAGTATTCGGACACTTGACTAGTTTCGAAACGATAGTACACATAATTTGCACGTGTATCGTGTGCGTCAGATGCACATTGTACCGTGCACAGGGTGCGATATAAGTTAATGAACGGTAATTGTTACTTCCGTTATTCCGTAATTGCTACGCATAATAGAATACACTATCGCTAAGCAACGAAAATTGTCGGATTAAATTAATCTCCTTCTACAAACATGGAAGTTTTTCTCTTTATTACTACTTCTCTCTGAGATTAGATTAGTTTGCACTAAAGATTTTTTTATCGTGATAAAGGTGTTCAGATTCTTATGAAATGATAATGTACTTCAATTTTTAGCGGCATTCCTTTCCTGTCTTTAATAAATCGATCAAATTCGCAGCTGGTCAATGCTGACCTATTGCGAACCTGTCAGAAACGAAGTCACTTGAATACTTTCTATGCTAGCTGGTATAATATTTATAATTAATGACGCAAAATATTTTGTTTTTTATAAATATTGAAGGCTCGTGTCAAAAGATTGTATTTGATATTTTATACGTGCAACTAATCGATATTGCTTGTATACGTTTTCTCTCTATAACAGGATTAATTAATTAATCCTTTCTAACGAAGATTGCAACGTTGCTATCCAACGCGCTTTTTTCGATACACTCTCTATCGAACTACGTGGCGATATTTCGCCACTGCTAAATAAAAGAGCGAGCAAAGAAAGAAGTAAATGTTTATCCCAGAATAAACTTGCGAGAAATTAGAGACAACGTCTGGGACATCTTATTTTCGGTGTTCATTTCTTGTTACGCTGATCATAATAATGTATTCCTTATAACTCTATGTTCAAACACGCGTCGTGTTCAACGTCACAAAAGATTAACGTTATCGGATAATGACGGGAAAATATAGATCGCTTCGATAGCTTAGATTTTGTTGACTATGCTCGTAGAATTACGTAGATAAAAATACTTGACAGATAGTGCATTGTAATTGTGATGGATTTTTAAGTTTCAAACTCGTGTTTTGAAGTTTGCGAATTACGAGCACGTGAACAAACGGGGTGGTGTCTTTAAAGTAGAAAAATAGTATTGTACAAGAGTGTTCGCGGTCTCTCGAGGTCTGACTATGGCATATCGTGGCAAGTAGAATGTGCCCGTACTCGGTCAGCCTCGTCAGTGTAGCATCGTCCGCATCACTGGTTACAGCGGAAGTGATTTTTAGCGAAACAACAAACACGTTAGAGCAATCGAACATTATTTTAGTTCATTTGTTCAGGTAACGAATGTTCATGCGAATAAAATAAGTATTTTCTTTAGAAATTCAAGGGGATCGCAATTTTGTAACGTACACGTAGTCACGTGTTTTATGGCACTTGAAAGTTTGTGCCACTCACACAATGATATCTCGATGATTAGTTTCAGCATGGAGTGCCCCGAAGCGATGGAACGAGGACGAAACTTTCGTCTGCTCGCCGAGGAGGAGTTGCCTCGACTCTTAGATTTCCTCGCTGGCTATTTACCTGAATCCTTAAAGGTGCGTGCAATTTTCCCCCGTGACTTTTATTCAGCTTGTCTGTAGTTACTTTTTAAAGTGTGAAGCGTTTGCGACGAAAACGTTCTTTTTGTTTTTTAAGTTCCCTCCGAGTTTGCTGTTTTCCAGTTGCTTACATCTTAAGTTTTATGGCATGCGATTATACCGGTGTTTATGAACACTGAACTTTTAAGTTGTGCTTAGAATTTTCTTTCTCTTCTATGTGCATAAATCGAATCGGGGCTAAATCTATTTTATCTTCGAATAAAAATATCGCTAAATTCGGTACATTGGAAAGATAGGTTGACGCGACAGAAGCGATAAAAATTGATAGAAATGGTAGAAGGTAGGAAAACAAAATCGAGGAATCTTTCGCGAAGCCGGTGTCAGCGTTGCCGTAAGGATATCGTAAGAGGGTCCTCCGGGGAATAAAATCGGTAAAGACGAGGGAATAAGCCGACGCAAAGGAAGCGATCCTTTCGCAGTATTTCCGCCGTAACCCGGTCTAAGTGGTCGGCCGTTGAGCTAGGTTAGTGTCAAGGTCGCAGCTGGTACACGCTGTTTTCTGCAGCGACCTTCTCGCCGCGATATTTGCACGCTGCGTCGTCGTAAATCCACGCGAACGAACTTACTGATCTCTTTTTTTATACGGGCTACAGATGGCTAGACATCCGTACACTGGCGCATAAAAGCGTTATTCTGAAACGAATACGCTTTTTATCCCAGATAAACAAGTTTATGGCATTCGTTTTGGATCGGTTTCAAATATTAATGGTGTTCGGACAATTCGAAACGATGATAGTTCGAGCTTCTAGTAATCGACGCTTTGCTCTAATCGCGACAGTCTGACACGTAACGCTGTTATTCATAAGAGGAAGCGAACTGATTCATAGAGCATTGTGATAGCGTTTAAAGAACACTAAGATGTCAAACATTATTTGTAAACCCAGCGGAAAGAGCAGTAGCAGTTTATCAAAAGAATTACTACAACACGAAACTTGCTATGTTTCGTAAACGAGGTCAACCAAATCATACGTTTATACGAGCTGTTTTCATTGTTTTTATGCATCGAATCAATTGCCGAAGAGACACCCACATATTACAGGACGTGCTGTATATACCGCGCAATTTACTTTGTCGCGAACATACTTTCGCGTTTCTCTGAACATACGTTCCCGAACGAACAGTAATCCCTTTACCGATACGTTTCAATGGATCAGATGTGTGTGCACCGATTACGCGATACCGAAGCGTACGCCCGCGTTTGTTACGACACGCTCAACGATGTGTATAAAAGCTGATATTTTTTTCTTCTTTTTTATCGCTTTCACCGTCGTTCCGACACGGAGAACGGGTTACCGTTTATTTTCACGCTGTATGCGAGAAGCTTTTCTATATACGTAACGACACCTTTGCTTCAGCTTTATCATGGTTGTTTGTCTGCTCTTTATCGCTGCGATCGTTATCGATTGTTACGTTGTATTTGCGCGGAAAGGGAAACGTTAATTTTTATGAACAGATAATTGGAAACTTCTTAATTCAAACGTAACGATTTACTTTCAGGACATCGTTCTTTAATTATACTTTCTTTTTATGGTGGAAATGAAGGCGAAGTTCCGATCGTAAGCGTAATTCCGTAACAACGTTAACAGAAATAACAACGCGGCATACCACGATAATTGATTCGTTTCATGGATTCACGTATCACTCGTTTTTTTATCGCGTTAATCGGACAAATGAAATTTCAGCATTTTCACGCAATTCGAAACACCGCAGTCTTGAATACACGTGTGTATATACGTGACAGACACCTGTTAATACAAACGATATTCTGGCGGCAGAGTGTAATAATCGGTCGTCGAACATGTTTACGAGAGAAAGTTGCCCACCACTTCATCCGTGATTCATTTAACGCCAATGAAATTGTTCATCCGACATATTTACTTTTTTCCATGAATTTATCTCGTAAACAGTTTTTTTAAATACCATCGGACTTTCAAAAACGGTCGATACTTCCAAATAGACAACTTTGGATTCTCTTATTGCGAATTAGGAACAGATTCCGCTAGTCCCGATTTCTCCTTCTTTCTCGCCTTTCACTCTCGACCCAGCGAGTTATCGATCTAAAAGAGTTTTGTTTCCTGCTCGTCGAGCGTCGTGAGGCTACCGGTGTTACAACCGTCAGCCACGCCACCTTGGTTCTGGTACCGATGTGTAAAGTGTACCAGAGTCAAGGCCAGGGTCGTGTTTCCGTGATTAATAACTTGCCGTCGATCTCGTAATCTTGCTGCGATATCGACCAACAGATTCATTCCTGCGACACTCCAATGGAATTCGATGTTGTAATTGTTGAATGTTGTCGAATCTCTTCGATCGCTTATCTACATAGTATATCTTTTCTTTCCAAATTATCTCCACTGACATAACATCTGCGATGTACTCGACTTTTTTTACGACGTACTAATAGCAGTAATTTAGGACATTTGAAATGTTCAGGTCCCATAGCGCTACTTTGATAGTTGTTATCGTTTTCCAAAGAGTAAAACCTGTCCCGGAAGAAAATGACGAAGAGGAAAAACTTGTCGTTATTTTTACGACTCGCTCGAGAGACCCGAATACCCCAGTAACTAACATTCTGGGACCTTTATAAATTCTGTCGCGCACATTATCTTCCCACACATTTCCGATAGGTCGCAAACAGTAGTTTGATCGCACGCGTTTTCAGGCTTCGCATGTTCCTTTTACCAACTCCATTTCGTGTTAGCAGTTTGCGCGTGATTCGAAAGATTTAACGATGCCCGTTGGTACTCGTGTTGCGAGCCATAATGCTTGGCAGGCACGAAACGATGCCGCATACCGAACGCGTCGTTTATCCTGGAATAAAGCTGTGGTGTAGCCGGTAAAAAGACAGGGTCAAGGTCGTGTCCACACGTGACGAGGTATCGCACGTACTTATGTACATATGTATTTTCGAATCCGCATTCGAATCGATGCTTCTTGCGCGTCAAACAATTCTAGCGACGATGCTTAACGAGCCACGGCAATCAGACCGCAAGAACTTGACAATAGATCGAACAGCTTTAGCACAGCAGTTACGAAATCTGTGTCTTTCTTCTCTGAGTTCTCGTTTACGACGAGGGGTTGGGAGATGCGCAGGAGATAATACGTGTCCTTTCTACCTCTTTTTCCCCCCTTTTTTTTACACTGCAAAGTTATACGACAATAAGAGGACTTGTACTTTTGAAGTACAGCTGGAAAATAGTCCCGTTTGTTCGTATAAATAAAGGCAAATAGGTGAAGGTTTTGGAATTTGCATCAGAACGGTTTCAAGCTACAGGAATTAGAGAAAGGTCGCTACTTACGTACCCAAAATGAACCTTTGAATTTTAGAAAAGCTATCACGTTTACATGTGTTCGTTCTATTATTAATCTTGAAGCGAGTAAATTAGGTTGCATGACTCCTAACTCGTTTCAAACTTATCGTCAAGTTTGTTCAATCCTATTAAGCAGAATTTCTGGAGGTGACTCTTTGATGTTTCTGCCACGAGTTAACTAATAAACCACTTTTATTTCATACAAATAAATACGACAAGCATCTAAGGCCGAGAAGTTTTAATAAACGTCATTCGGTCGAATTTGAGCGAACAAGTCTGACAGAAACTTTGATATTAATTTAACTTTTACAGGGAGCAAAATTGAACGAGGTACCTTCGAATATCTTCCTCGACATCGCGGCCGAACTTTATTCTTCGAAATAAATTGTTTAAGTCGAAACAATCTTCTTTCGAAGGCATTTTTTTCTGTCTCAAAGACACGAAATAAATTCGGACAATTCGCGTGGCTTTCTCGTTCGCCTTTCTCGTTTTAGCCGCTTCTCGAGATCAAACCAGAGATATGTAAATTTCGGACTGGTTATACTTCACGTGCCGCGCGTGAAACACTTTATTACGCGACGACGCATTTGTGACTTTGAATATTTCAAGAAAAGACACGAAAGCACAATTCTATTTTATTTTTTTCCGGAAGAACACGCGAACAACGTAAGTACATACATTTCGCTTCGACATCGACCTTTTCTTTACGGACAAAATTCCATGCGTTCAAGAATCCAACCGATCGTTAACATCGAAGTAAGAAATATTTGAAATGATCTTTCCGTGGAAGTGTTTCAACGAAGAAGCCTTAGCTTGTTTCCTGGGTAAACACGGCAGTTTTTCGGTAAATGAAAAAGAAAATTTAATATGCAAGAGCATCGGTGGTAGCACGTGGTAGTTATTTCGCGAGACACCGTCTGGAGCGTCGCCCTCGGCTACATTTCTCTTCATCTTGTAGCTTCTTCGTAAATATCTACCCTTTCATTTCGAAGGCAACGCGCGAAATGAAAGAAACTTCTCTTTTAACCAGCCCGACACCTCGTGTATTTCTAATTCTTTCGTGAGATTACAACAGTTTCGACTATGTTTCATTATTGCTTTTTTTGCAAAACCATCAGCTATCTTAGACAATAGCCCTCCACCTCGATGTCACTAGCAAATAGGAATGTTATTCTATGTAAATTGTCACAATTTTTCATGGTAATGTCTCTTTGTTTTATAGTTCCATCAAACGTTGTTGACCTACATGCGGGACAGAGTATGGGACTTTCATTTCTACGTGGCTAACAACTGGCCCGAAGATGCTATCTGTTTACATTTTCCAGGCATGACGCTATCTGTGAGTATATAAAATAAATACCTATTCGTTTTTTTAAAGAAGGATCGATAACGCTGATATTCCGTGTCGTCGAGTACGGATTCGTGGTGAAATTTTTAAACGAACATCACATTTCTCTTACAATCTGCGAGAAAGTGAATTTATTTTCGTGTCAACAATTCGACATACGATAATATAACACTCCAAAGATATTCAAATGTAGATGGTTGGTGGTTTCATTGAACGAATAAAAAGCTAAAAGGCGAAAGTAAATGGTCAATTTGGGAAGAGAAAATTGAAGACAATTTGCGTGCCTCCTGTAAATTCATCTTGTCTCCTGGCGTATCGCGAAAGGGTGCAGAAAAGTTGGCCCACATCCTTTCTTGGCTAACATCCAATCTTTTGTTTCACAGCCTTGCCAGTTCATTTACTGACCTAACTCGCGACTCTTCTAATCTACCTTTAGGTGATCCTTTAGTTAATTAACGTGTCCGCGCTGCTATGCGTTCGACATGAATTGTTGCGTGTCCTTCTAACTTGATCCATTAATCAGACCGGAGATAAAAACTTCGACACTTCAAAATTTACTATTTTTGCCAAGTTTCAAAGTTCAAAACATGTGAATATAAATTGAAGCTTAATTGAAACGAACGTGACCTTTCTTTTCCAGCATCGGTCTAATCAATTAGCTTGCTGAGATAATCGTTGCGTCGATTTTCAGCCACACGGTCTGCTTTTCGAGAGCGTGGGCGTGTTTTGCCCGAACGATCGACTGGAGCTGCTCAAGCTGCTAAGGGAGGAGGATATTTTGATCGACTGGACGAAGCCTCTTTATATTAACTTCGTTCACTTCGACATCGCCGAGGAGTTGACGCGTCTCTACGAAGGTACAGGAACCATCGACACGGTTGTCGGCGACGTTTACGTGTGCGCGGACGAGGAGAGCCTCAACGATGTCGAGGAACCGGACGAAGAAGCTGACCCTGATGTTCGAGTTCAACCCCTGAAGGCTGAACACGCCGAGGGCATCTACGAGCTGTATCCTGCGAACGATATGGAGTGTCACGAGGTCTTCCTACGGTTGATCAGGACTCTTCCAGCGGCTGGTGTATTTGCGAAGGGTCGTCTAGCTGCTTGGATGGTCCAGTCTTATTACGGAGCGATGTTTTCTATGCAGACTAAGCCAGAGTATCGAAGAAAGGGATACGGAACGAAATTAGCAAGGTAAAACAGATTTTTCGTACCGTATGGGAATAGCCGTTTAATTAAGGAGCACAGGGGAAGGAGTGTCAATCGTCTTATTCGTTGTTATTTATCGAGTTAGGTGACGGTCGATGCTAGGGATCGATGCTAGTCAAATAGCAGAATTTGTAGTCCTTGTTTAAAGGCCAATATCGTTCCTACCCCTCTGCTTACCCTTAACCGAGAGAAGGCTAAATCGCACTCGAGTGTAAAAAGGAATATCGATAGTATATCAAGGGGACGATGTTATATAATGAAAAAATCGTAGGTACCTGACGAAACGGGTCGTCGAGAAAGGTTACCAGCCTTTCGTGGTAATTCGTCCGGAGAACGAAGCTAGTCAGAGCCTGTACAAGAAGCTGGGCTTCAGAAGGCTCTATCAAATAGTCCGAATGACGTTTATGCCCTCCACATGGCAGGAGGATGAAACCGAAACGAACCGTATCATGAGAGAGAACCTGGAGAACGCTGTCAGACAACTGACGATCGAACAGAAAGTGGTGGACGCGTTGAGAAGCGAGGAAGAGATTTCCATCAACGAGGAAACTACGGACAACAAAGAGGAGGCGATAGAATCGTTGAACGACGAAGAGAATCCTGAAGTGGTCGTCGAGGAACCCGAAGACAAAACGGAGAATCAAATAGACGAAACTGTCGAGGTTGTAGAAGAAGGGGGAAGAATAGACATTTCAGAATTGTCGATCGAGGAAACGACCGCTGATGTTGCGCAACAAGACGAAGAAGCTTCTGGCAACAATGACGGTAGTAATCAAGACGATGGAGGAACAGATGCTGGGGACTTGGATAATTAAATTATACGAATGGATTATTCGACCAAAGGTCCATGATTTGCATCGCGTTGGTCGCTCGAGGGTGTGCTCTTCTCTTCAGGATCGATAGCGGAATCGGTTCTATCGACGATGACTGGTTCTATCTCGATAGAAAGATTTGCCTCGCACGAATTATACATCATTGCTCTTATATTCTATAAAATAGCTAACCAACTTTATCGACGTTCAAGATATTACGATTTAAAAGCCATTTCGCATCTGTTCAAGAATCATTTGGAACATCCCCAAGTAGACACTGTACTATTTTCAGAAAATTGTCGATAGTTTTTCTATGCTAACGAAGCCATTCTTGCCAATTGAAAGTATACTATTTGTTAAGTATTTCTATTTATTGTCCATCGACGACGAAGCCCTAAGTAAGGTTTTTCGTGGAGAAGAGCACTCGAGCGACGCGCTTAAAGGGTGAAAGGGAAGAGAGAAAATTATTTTACGAAATTTAACGATATATTACGGCACCGCGTTCGTGCGAGGCTTCGATTCGCGTACGAAGAGGCACGATTCTACGTACGGGTTCCTCATATCAGACTGTTCGAAGAATGTCGTGAGTCTCAGGAATCATCTAGACGTATCCTTTGAATTGTCAAGGTTAGATTGTTTCAAAGTCTATCCGTACCGTGTCTGGTATCTTCTTGTTATATACGTATGTATATACATATATTCGGGGAAAATTCATTGTTCTATTTGTCACGGTAACGCGAGCTGGATCATTCGCATAAATCGATCCATCTCGATACGTGATTTTGGAATTGAACGTTTCTTCGGAATTCACGCGAATGTTTTGTTAATCGTTTCTCGTATACTTTAGTCAAAATATTTGTTAAAATTTCACGAGTTGAATTATCGAACGATTAAAGATTAATCCTTCGAGCGAACAGATTCTTCGACCTAAAATTATCCGCAGATTAATACAAATTTTAATGTCCGACAAGTTACACGTGTTTTTATCAAAATAGCATCTTGTCGTTCGGTGAATTGACCTGGAGATGCAACGAGTACAAATCAACGTGTAATTGGGTATTCTGTTGCACGAGGAAAATTGAATATTAAAATTACGAGTACCTGTGTCCCATTCGTTTCTTAAGCGACCAAAATTCACGATAGACTTTGAGTAACAAAACGTTCGAGTCCAAACGATAAATTGTTTGTTACATGTATCACGATGAAAAAACAAGGAACAAACTGTTGCGTGCGACGATAGAATATCAGCCACGAAACGCGCGACCGCTGTTAGAAAACTTTCGCGCTGAATCAGTCTGTGATTATAATTTCCTTATGTAAAGTAGCGTTTCGAGCAAAAATTCAGAAGCCTCGTGCGACCTCGACACGCTTTCCTTAATACAAGTAGAAGCCAATTACTGTGCCGGCGACGTTCGACCCGTAGTTGTCAATTTCCAGCCAACGTTCGATTATAACGATAACAGCTTCGATTTCAGCCACGCGTTTTGATCATACAGGGTGTAGAGAATAACGCTTTCGTTTCGAACAAACTTTTTTCTACAGCTTTTCGAACATTCTATGGGGTGTTATAAAGTTAAACTTCACTTTGTACGTTCTATAATCTATAAATAAAGCAGGTGATTCGATTCACATTCCTATGGAATTATTTTATAGTGCAACTTCTTACGTCAATTTGTAATATTTTGTGGCGCACAAAAGATTTTTCTCTGTGATAGAATTGGAGCAAGCAAAATACGTGATTTTAAAATTATAATTAATCATTTCTTTTACTATAGAATGTTAAATGTGCGCTTGACTTTGTAACACCTTGTATATTTAATTGTATCTTCGATAAGATCTATATATATATATATTTAAATAATCAAAAATTTTGTCCACTTTCGAAATTTCATGTATTTTTACGCATAGAGTTTCGCAAGAATTGTTCGATCGATACGCACCGACGCAGAAATTGGTGTAGCGTGCGAGCCAATGATAATAAAATTATGAATAGCGACTATCATATAATTAATATTACAATTAGTTACAAAATATACGTTGTATAATATGGAAATATACCGCGCAAAAGGAAGCCTGGTCAGCCCGGCTACGCTTACCGAACGAGAACCATCTCTAGTGTCTAAGTATGTACGTAGTTAACACTATTTGTATCATTTTTTCTACGTTTCATAGGACGAGAATTAAATCGAGACCGATATTAGAGCCGGGTAACGCGTAACCAGGAGAACAGAGATTTTTGAGAAAAGAGTAAAAATATGGTCGAAGCTGGGACGTCCGGGCGATTCCTCAAAGGCCCTCAAAGATCCTCGTTTATTTTGGATTTTCGACGTTTCCGGGGGCCAGCTGTGATATTTTCCCCATTCCACTTACGCTCTGGTCGCGGTACCAAGCTTAGATCTTAGGTAAGAATTGGTTGTCGTTGATGGGATACACCTAAAATGCTCCTTCAATTCCATTGATGTTTTGCCACCGACGTGCTTAGCGTATCGTACAAAATTTATCGTTTCGTGTTCGTTATAACCGATACTTGGAGGACCAACGATATTGGCAAGAATAACGTGAAAAATTGATGACATTAGGTTGTTACGTACCGAATACTCGATTTCGAAACGGAGAAAGTCTCTTATGAACCGATGACATGGACGTGTTGCAAAACGGCACTTACAGCATATCAATTTGAAGCTTAATGTTTCGTGAAAATGACCATTTCGTTAATGTTCTTAATAGCTGGTGGCCACTGATAGTAAATAATGACCAATTTCCAAAGAACTCTTACACGATCGTGTGATATAAAAATACCACTCGAAATTCGATGAAAACTAAACGAAAATAATTGCGTTCGATATGCAACAACCTACATTTGTAATTCTTAATCCTTAGAATGCTATGAGCGGATACACGAGATGTTTCCAAGAATCCAGTTTACCATTTTTTAATCCGAAAATTAAGGGTTCGACTTCCGACACGCCATTTTACGTAGATCTTGGGAAGGCCCCAAAATGGTGAAGGACTTCTCAATTTATTTTCTCATGGAAAGTATAAGTCTCGTGACGTTTTCTTTGAAACGCTCTGTATACGCTTAGCAAGAACCATCGTTGTGGCCTATAGGCATATATAATAGAATTAGCTCGTTGTTTTCATTGAACAGACATTGTTCTTTTCGAGATTATTCAAAAAATGTTGGTCACGGTGTTATAGGCATCGGTCTTTTTTAAAAAGAAAATTAATCCATTAGGAATTTCAAAATTGAAAGTACAATACCAAAATCGTCCTCTGAGCATAAAGTATTTTAAAATACAAATTAATCGCACGCGTCACCTCGACCTCGTTCCCAAGTAAAAGAATAAGGTTGTACTTTACAGAACACTTCAAACGATTGATTTATAAAAGACCTGTACGAGAAAACGATTAGACGGTTTAATCGTTCGGAAAATCTACGTAATGTCCTGAATCGCTTTAAATCGATAATTTTTGCTATTCCGCAACAGCGACCTAACCTGAGTATTCCCATTATTATTTCGTACACTTTCTTCTATTATGCACAAGTTAGAATGGAATTCGCGAGTACGGTTAATGACTAAACAGAACGGTCATTACGAGAATCTCTTAATCGACCCAGCGAATCGAAAAGTGCATCGAATGTCGTAGAATGCGAAACGCGGTGGAAAAACTGATCATAGTTCCTACAATTTCAATTATTTCAACGTTCAGAATCGTTTATTTCAATCACGCGGTGCACTTTTCGATTCTATCTCACCATGTCAATTACAAGCGTCACCTTTTGCGTCACGTCGTCAACGATTAACGCTAGAACATCGATACAATTTTACTTGTGCGGAAGAGAAACGACAGAGAAACCGCTAAGCAAATATTAAAATCTTTCTTTTATGTTTTCTATAAGGTAGTCGCATACCGAGTAACCGATTTCGAAACGTGGAAAGTGAGACGCGATATAATCGGGATAAAAATAGCGCATGTTTATTTCCTGTATTTCGAAATCGTCGATTTGTAATGCGAGTATCTCATATTTCTATTAATTTTGCGAGTTTATCTGTCTAATAAGAGCTTGAACGTTCTGTAGGTAATGCGAGTTCCATAAATACCGATCGTTCTGGTGTTAATGCGCATTTAACGATCCGTGACGAGTGCGTTGCTCGCACAAAACAATTTCTCGTAATGACCACGCGACATTTAATTCCGTTGGATAGCTTTCAATACGTTAATTATAAAGTCTTATCTTGCTTTCAGTTTCTAACATCTGTTTACAACGTCGATTCGATGCGCGTACCCAAAACGATGACTAAAAACAACCTGTTAAGCAATTATATATTCTTTGTTACAAATATAATATTTTAAAATAATAGAAACAAATATTTGGTAGCTTATTTTTGTTGTTTTATTTTATATTTAACACCGACTCGCGCTCGCGAAAGAAAAAATCAAGTCTTTTCTTTGATCGAAGGATTTGTCCGATTCTAACCTAAAACGTAATCGACAACCGTTTGCGACTTTCATTCGACACGTTATCTGAACTTTCTATTAAACTCTTGCAAGGGATCGTGATTGAAAAAAAAATGTTCAAACGAAACAAGCGTTGAAAAAAAGAAGCAACAACGAAGTACCATTAAATTTATATCGATCCCGCATCTAGTTTGCTAATTCTAGCGCAACGCAAGTCAATGTCTCGCGAAATAGGCCTAAAATCCGTCTGTTGACATCTAAACAGCACACTTCTACAATTATTGTAAATATATATAATATACGTATATATAATATATACATATATCCTTCCTATTTCCTCGTGCACGTTGCCTTCCGCTACAACAAACTCTTTGTCTGGAGCAACACTTAAACCTCTGTCGTGCGACATATGAAAGTTACACAAATTAAAACAATAATAAATAAATGGGAAAAAAGAATTGTGTCACGAATACAAAACTGATCGCAAGTCTATTTGATTGTAAAGAGCGAGAAAACGGAAAGTTAACCTATGAAACGTCGATGGCGTTGATTTGTATGTTTGATAAAGGCGAATAATCGCAGCGTGAGAAACGCTAGTTTTGTGACAACTGGAAATTGGAAAAGAGCTTTGGGTAATAAATGGAACAAACAAATGATTTTTCAACGATTGTGTCATTTATTGTACACTCTCCCCTATCGACACGCTTCTTAGTGTACATCGACCGATAACCGAATGATTGTTTTCGTTTCGTTGTCGGTCAGTGAATTATTTAAATAGCCAATTACAGATTCATTTGTTCGTGTACATTGTCCACATTTTAGTTCACGTTCAAGAAAGTATATTTCTACGATTCGGAGTTACCGATGACATTTCGCTCGATACCATCCGGCAAAACACTGTACAAAATATAATCGGTTAATAAAATAAACTACACTTACGTTGAACACAAAGACTAAAGGTATTCGTAAAGCGCAATCGATGTACGATAACGTTTCAGCCACGTTGTCTCTTGATCGCTGCAAGCGCGTATTATTTTATGACAGCGATACAACAATCGTAAAAAACAATGCATCTTCATTATCGTGTGTTTAATTGTCAAAAACTGTCAGTGTACACAAAACTATTCATGTTTTATCACTACCGTCGAACTGGGCAATATCGGTACGATCAACGGTTTACAGCGAACCGTAAATTTTCGACGAAAACGCACAAACACAGCTCGTTATTTATTAACGCAAACGATTCGTCGACCGCACAGAAACGAAACATCGTCGAGTATAAGGTTAGAGCACAAAAATTTGTCGCGTAGTCGTTTGTTCGCACCGTTCGTGACGAACCAGTAATAAATCCGACGAATTGGCTCGTACAATGCGTAACTACGTAATAAAATACACAACAAACCGTAGGAAAAGAAGTACGTAACACCTTAGAGAAGATCGGCAACGGTCCAGCATGGACAGCACTAGTACCGAGTGGAACTACGAGAACGATAAGAGACGACAGGTGACTGGGTGACTGGAAGCTGCGCCATGCGCGTACCTCGCTGTGCCTCGGCGTCGCTCGAGCACGCTCGCCGTCACTCGGGCGCCTCCGGCAGCGCGTGGTGGGGCGAGCAGTGTATCCGTGACGTCACATAATTAGAGTAAATACAAAGTAGTCTTGATGGGACAGCGGCGTGCGCCGCACCGTGAGTCGCTGGTCCGCGCGCGTCAAACGTATATCGTTTCGATACACGCACACCGCGTTTGTGTAGCTCGTGATATATCGCGCTATGTGCCGTCAGTGTGTGTGTGCCAAAGGATCCTAGATGACTGTGGGAATAGTGAGTGACAGTTGTGCAGCAAAGAAATGGAAAAGATAGAGGTGAGTTAATTGTTATACCATATTAATGTGTGGAATAATTGAAAAAGTTATACGTGCCGGTCAGTGTACGGATTCCGCGCGACTCCGTTCTTTTTTCTTTACCCGTTCGCTGTCGAATTCACCCGACGTGGGTTCTCGCTCTCGTCCGTAATGCAGAAGTGACAGCGTGGTGATGAGTGGGGGAAGGGGTAGTCAATGGTGGGGAGATGATCGTGTAGTTAGACATCTGGCAACGAATGCAATTGTGTGTATCTTCGATGTGCCACACTATTAGACGGACTGATTACTTCTCCCTTCTCCTACGTTATCAATCGCGTCGTCTTTCTCTGTTTCATTTTCATTTCTCTCTGTCAACTTTGTGATTCGGCTTTTATCTCTCTCGCACGTTTCTTGCCCCCTCCCCCCATCTACTCCTACTCCCCCAACTTCTACCCTACTCTTCGTTCTTTTTCTCTCTCGCTCGTTCGTATGCTTGCTTACTTTTTCTCTCCGTTTACATATCTCAGTCAGTCGATCCTTCTCTTTCTCTCTCTCTCTTTCTCTTTATCTCGCTTATTCTTTCTATCTTTCTCGCTCATTCTGTTAGTACACTTTGTGCCTTTCTCTCTCTTTCCCTCTTTCGTGTTCTCTCATTCTCAGTTAGTGAGGTATTTATAGATGTGCCTTAACCCGATTTAACACAGCCACCTCGACTCGCATTGTCCTAACAACGATTTAATGAGAAATTACATTTTTTCCGAATTCTTTCTCTTTCGTATTTTTTTTTCTATCAAATATTTTCTCTTTCGATTTTTCGTTTTATTTTTTTAATTATTCTAGTTGAAATACAAAACGAGGGTTAAAGAGAAAACAACAGCACTATTCGTGCACATGTTTGAGAGTCGAATCGATAAGTACGTCCGTTATTATTAGGATGAAATATTATGGTACACCGGCAGATAAATAGAGCGTCGCTTGTTTAAAGGAAATTTTAACAACGTGTGCGTTTGACTGTGCGAGAAAAATATATTTAGTGTACTTCGTGGAAAGTATGTACAATCGGATGAAAGGCTTTACGACAATTTTTATTATCGAATTTTTTCGCTTCTTCTCTTTTGTTTATACGACGAAACCAATTCAATTGACGTTATTTATTTACTACACAAAACAGAGTAACAATTAACCCGTATGTTTCGATGATTCAATTACTGATTTTCCGGCAATATCTGTTTTTTGTTATTTTCACGTATCTCGCGTGTTCTCTCTTTTTATTTTCTCCACCACTCCACCCACTCGCGTTCTCTCTCTTTCTCTCTGGTATTCATTCGTTCTCGCTATCTTTGCTAGCAAACGAATTGAAAGTATACATTTGAGAACTAAATCGATAATGTAGGGTCGCGAGTCACGGTTGGTAATTATATTGTATCAGTGCCGAAGCGGTGAATGTTATTTTTGTTATCATAACTCAGCTAAGTACATAATACACGCAAAGCGTTCTCTATTATCTTTTTCTCGTAACAAGTAAACTTTTGCAGTTTTCGTCGCTTTTGTCCTCCGTATATAGTAACTTAAAATATTCTCTCTGGCTTTCGCGAATAAAGTGTGCTTTTTTTCTGACGAGCTATTTAGCGTCCGTAGAAATTTTTATTTCTTTTTTTTTGCTCTCTCTTTCTCTCTCTCTCTCTCTACTCGTTTGCTGAAACGAAAAATACAAACTGTAAGAAATGTTACTGGTAGATGCAATAATAATCAGTGCGCCAACGAAAATTTCCATCCCCTTGCGACCTATACTCGACCGTCTATGACGTAATAAAATTATATATTTACACGACACGATGCTATTTGGAGTATAAGTGAGCTACGGTAAAATCATGTTATTATACAATATTGAACGCCCTGCTTATAAACTGAACGTAACGTTTTAGGATAATATTATCAATTGTAGAATCGTAAAATATAGATCGGTAAATGACGATGAATATTAAACACGTTTTATTTAATTTCGAACGAATTCAAATTTAATTTAGTGTATTCGAACAATTCGCGTTTAATCAAATATTACAATTTATTAATTAAATTTGAATAAACGAGCGAACGAAAATAATTAAATAATTCACCGAAATTCATGATACACGTTTCAAATAATCGAACGATTTAATTAAAGGGTGGAACGAAAACTTTTTATAAACGATATAACGTCAGTTCTATTTATTAATTCCGCGCGTACGATTAAATAATACGTGAATCGCGATTAAAATAATGCTCCGTCCTTGTGGCAAACAAGTACACCTATATTATTACGTTTGAGCGTGTGTGTGTGTGTGCGCGCGATTCAGAAGTTGTAAAAAATAACAAAACATTTGTTTTACCTTGACTGTAATTTCCAACGCGGTTCGTTTCGTATTGCAAAGCCGTTCAATATCTGCTTAAATATATGTATGTAATATAAACGCATTATCTTTCTACGATTTTTTGCCACTCGAGAATGGTGGATCTATTCGTGAAATTGCATTAAAATTGTTTCGAATAAGCGAGCCATTTTTGCCATCGAGAGAATTGCATCATTTGCCTGACATAGCAGTATTTACGTTTAAGGATTTCAATATTACACAAACGTATGACATCTCTAAAGAGATTAAACTCGGAATTTAGTGCACGAACCGTAATTCACGTCGTCGATAACTTCGTAGCGTTCGCCCAGGCCCGTATATACAACACGTAAAAACCTTTCTCACGACCAATCATTTTCTCGCTGAGATTTATGTAATATAATATTCGTTAGTCGTTGTTCTTGATTCTCTATTCGCGAACCACCGCCACGAACGCAAATATAGCACCGATAAAAATACTGTTCGTGCTCGTAAGATAATTATCTCGTGATTCACCGAGCGTTGTTTCTTTTCTCGTTACGAGTCCTTAATAAATTTCGTAGCCAGTTATGGCCAAGTTTTCGTCCCCTCTGTTCTCTCTTTTTTTTCTACATCTAAATAATATTTGAATTCGTCACGCACACAAGTTCTCCTTTGCCATTCTTTTTCGTATCATATATTTCGCATTATAATTTTACCTCGCCTAGAAAATTGCGAATTCCTGTTTTACATTTGTAATTATAATTTGTTTCGCACACATGTTCGGGAATACGTTCTAAGTGGTTTTGATACACGAGAATCTAAACGGAAAACTATTCGAGAGGCGGAACACGTACATATAATTTCTTATCTTATTATTTTCCATTATATGTATGTACATTACGTGTATCTTTATTTTTCTTCTTCTTCTTTTCCTTTCATTAATTTGCTCGGTAATCCGCCGTGCATACGTATAATATCGCGTATACATATACTCGGTGTGTTTACATGCCTCTCTCTCTTTCTCTTTCTGTCTCTTCCCCGCTTCGTGCAACTTCGGCCGTGTTCGTGTTGATACGCGTGACATGATGCGCGCGCACGCCCAACACGTACAGCACGAGTCAAATTCAACGAACCGAGCGGGACAGGTGCTTCACTAACAATAGTGGTGCACGCCTTTGAAAATATACTTCAAATAATGATCGCGACGCTAAGCGCACTTCCAGTTATCGCGTAAAGCTACCTGCCGTGCACGATACATGTACGCACACGCCTCGCACACCACAAAAACGATAGGTTGGATAAATTTTATGATCTTTCAACGGCAAAGGAAATTAGCCGATAATTCATCCGCGTGCATGCGCTTGCTCCCGTTCGCCGGAATTCAATTGGCGATTCATAATTAAAATTTGTGTACACGCGATCGGGCATATATTTATTCCCGCTCACGTTCGCCTATCGAGTGCGTGTATCGATTTTTGCGCGTTCGGCCCAATCGAATATTCATGATCCCTGAAAAATGAGATTTAGGTTATGTTATGTACCGCGTTGATTTAACGTCCTCCGATAAAGATGTTGTTTTATCGATTAGTTCAACGATTATCTCGGTCCATTATTTATTTTTAATCTAGATCGATACGTTTTTAAGGTATTAGAACAAAGATAAAATATATTTAGTAGTTTCATGAATCTTGCTCGTTGATTTGGTGTGGTTCGCTTCTTACTCTGATCCTCGTATGGCCCCACAGAAAACCTCCCGCTCTTTTCTGCTAACGACATTAAAGGAAAGTACCCCGTTGCCTGCCTTAATGGAATTTACTTTTGTAGCTTCGCGGAGCTCGCTCATACTTCGCAGAGTAAATTGCACCGCGAGGGTGGATCACGAAAAACAAGTGTCTCGATTTGACGCGAACAATACCATGTTTCTCTCGTCTGAAATTATTTCACGAATTTAAAAATCAAAATATCTACCTGGTTCGAATCAAAAAATTGTGTTATAGGTGGTTATAGCGAGTGAAACTTTTTTACGCTTTAAAATATTTGAGAATTCGAAAAATTGTTTGTATTTTTCGTGGCCATCGATTCTAACGCTCTCGTGTCGAATCGCATCCGTACAAAATTCTCTTAAAAAATAAAAAACGGGAAAACCGTAAACCGAGCTGTTATTTGTTTGGCCATTTAATTTTGATCGATATTAATTCTACGAATATTTACAAAATACGTGAAGTATTAAGTCGGTTCGAGGGCTTGGATCTGGCTATAAATATGAAATTTTAAATGAAACATCGTTTTATCAAACTGCCTTTTCTCACTTGATAAATCGTTACACCGACTAACGCGTTTAGATTTGTTTGATCGCGTGCGCTGGGTACTCATCAAAATAAAGAGCTGATAAGAAGCTTTTCATACGATTCGAGATAACGCTATGAACGAGGAAACGGTTTTGTTAAATACAATGATACCGGCATATGGTGTATGCATTTAGAACGATACATGATTCTTTGTGGAAAATTAATCTACGCGATAGTTGAAATGACGAGAATCATTTGCGAGGTATATTAAAAAGAATCGAGAATTGATAATTAGAATTTTTAAATTGGAAATTTATCGACAATTCGCTGATGACTCTAAGAGCATGATGTCATCCCTCTTTTAATATCGATATCCTTCTTT